CATGAGAGCCAGGAGGTAGTTGTTATAGTAACTGTGTTTCTATACCTGTCAATCAGAGCTATTTCAGGCATCCTGCATCTAAGAGGGTGGAGGGGAAGAGATGCTCAGGACCAGAGAGCGAGGTAACAAAGCATCCGGAAACTTTTATCAGTCAGAATGAAATCCGCCTTTTTTTCCTCAAAAATCGTCTAATTATTCTCCTCAAAGATGGAATTGTTCTGCATGTCACAGCAAAACGCCTCATTGTTGTTTCATCTGATTAAACCCTGTTCTTCACCGCTCGGTCAAACGTTTTCTGGTTATTTCAGGGTGAAAATATGCAACATGCAGGTAAACTTTACACAAAAACGTGACCTTTGCAGCGATGTGACGCGACGTCCGTCTACGTTTCCACCCCTCAGATGAGGAGCTCGGACATCCAGGAGAAACTCACGGCAGAGCCGCTGCTCCTCCGCTTCAAAAGGAGCCAGCTGAGGTTATGGGCAGGAGGTCTCCAGGTCCACCAAACAAGAGTGCCCCAAGGGGTGGCTAGAAAATTGCTGCCCCCCCCCCCAACCCCCCCCCCCCCCCCCCCCCCCCGGAAAAGCCAGAGTTAACAAATCATATTAATGTTCAGTCAAACCATATATGAATCTTGTTTATTCAATACATAATTGTAAAACAAAAATAAAAATATTACAATTATTGAGTAAAGAAATAATAGGAATTTAAAAAATGCACATGTTTCTGCTGCTCACCATTTTAAAAAGTTTTTATCTCCATGGTTTTTATTTAAACACAGCAACAGGTGAGTAAACTTAAAAAAAGTTATTTTTTTTAATTAAATTTGGGGTAAAATTTTAAATAACTGAAATGTATTTTTTAAAAATGTTTGTGTTTGTAAAATTCAAATTCAATGTTTTGGATACTTAGTTATTTTAATAAAAATGAATAAAGGTGCAATGCAGCACATCACCACTGGCTAAATTCTACCAGCGTTACCACAAGGACCAATTTGGTGAGCCACCCCAAAAATTTCTTTGGCCCCATCTGGCCACCCCTACCAAAATTTTCTAGAGCTGCCCCTGCCACCAAACAACTGGGGGGATTAGATCTCCAAGATGACCTGGGAATGATTTAGGAATCCCATTAGAGAAGTGAGGTTAGCAGGTGATCCAAGGAGACTGGCTAAGGAGTTTTACGCTAGTTCCTCAGAAAGAGGACAGAGAGTCAAAGGCTGCAGCCGGGGGCTGAAGTTTGGGTGCCAGAACCACCAACCGGACAACGACTCGTGTTCAGGTATCTGCTGGAGCCATGGACGTAATTTTCGCCTTAGAAATGAGGGGGAAACGGGGGTGGGGGGGTGGGGGGTGTCTTTACAGTATGCTTTAATGGGAAACAGGCTTCAACACAAACGGTTGTTCTCCGCTTGGTCCTAGAGCTCAACCAGTGTCAATTTAATATAAAGTAATAATGTTTTTGGATGGTAAAAAGTGCAGGGGTCAAAACTTGACTTTGGAAAAAGTGGGGGGGGGGGGGCATGTCCCCCCTGTCCCCCCCAAAATTACGTCCATGGCTGGAGCCCACCACCAAACATCTGCTTGTGACCTTCATGTTCTGTTCGTGGAGTTCATCAAGAGGCCAGAGGAAGGTGTCCAATCTACTCACAGCAGCATCAGTGCACCTCAGTCCCTTCACCCGACAAACGGATGATGCTGAAACATAGAACACGCTCACGAAGGAGCTGGAAGTCGCTGTCAGTCACAAAACCACGTCGGAACGCAAGTTGGGAAGTTTCCTCAAATGCAAAAAAAAGTTTGCATCTTCAATATTTGGAAAATACAAACATCTAGAATCAGATGTCAGCCATGCACTGAAAAAGTTTGGAGAGGCAGAGAAGTTGAACACTCTGGTCTATCACCGTAGATTGTTGTGGGAAAGGATTCAGACTCTGTTTTAATCCGATTTCAGAAACGATAGCCTGAGATTGTACTGATTAAAGAAAATAAACTTTTAAAAACCAACCTAGCTCTGTGCAGTGGCGCCCCCAGAACATTTCCCCAGGGGGCCAGAGCAAATTTTTGGGGTGGCACACCAAATCGATTCTTATAGCCGTGTGTCCACAAGAGAAGGGAATTTTTACCAGAGATGCGATGGATCTACACAAAATCGGCCTTTTCAGAACTTTGCTCCAATGCCAGCATATTGTGACTGCTTCAGCAGTGATTGATTAGCCTGGCCTGCCAGACTCGTCCTGTTTAATTCTGCAGAGAAAGAGTCTGGTAACTCACAGGCAGAGAGTCACATGAGGGGCGGGACTAGCCAGCTCAAAAGTAGCCAATCAGAAAAAAAGACTGAAATTGCGACTGTACCGCGTAATGCTGACGTTTTTTAGTTGTAATAAAAAAAAGGCGTCTGGCAACGACGCAAACATCTTTAATTTTTTAGAAGAAAGGCTTTTAGCGCTTCTACTTGTGGTTTTAAAGATGTTCAAGTCATTTACAACGAAGGAAAGAGCCGCAGCGAACTCCGCTTCAGTCGCCATGGTCGCCAGGCTTGGTGTTGTGTGTGACGTACGCTGCTCAGCGCTGATTGGCTCGGTTAGAATTCTGGGGCGGGGTTGTTTGAATAGGAGAGTTCCCAGACCCTTTCTCTGTGCAGAATCAAACAGAGGAGTCTGGCAGATCAGGCTAGTAATTGACGTCGCTGATCATCGCCAAGCACACCAATAACAATAAGTTATTAACTGTCAAAGTACGACTTAATTAAATCGAGTGAGAGGACCAAGAGAGCAGCTGTGTGAAGAAAAATGTGGCATTTAATAACCGGACAAAGAAATGATTTTTACAAAGCCGGTGAGTTAACCAAAATTTCCACGCTGTGAGTCTACCAGGCCTTTCCCGAGTATATAACCCTATTCAGGTTCTCTGATGGTTCCTTAAAATGGCCGGCCCGCTGGAGTAAGGCAAATGAATCCGCAAAGGTCAGGTAAAAATAACCCCGAAGTTCGGATAGAAGAAACACGCTTTACGGTAACTCTGGGAAATTTTAGCCTGTAGCTGTGCAACACGCTGTTCCTGCATTTATTTTCATAAAAAAAACAATATGCATCAAAACAATTTCAGAACAAAACACTTCAAACTGTTCAATTACTTCTACATGTTATTTTAAAAGAGTTTTATGCATGTTGCCATCTTCAGAAAAGGGCAGCAATTTTCTGTCCCCCCCCCCCCCCCCCCCCCGGGGGGCACCACTGTGATTAACCATGCTGTTCGAACTCAGTTTCACTCTGAGTACTGCTGGACCAGTACGCTAAAAGATCCCAAAAAAAGCAACACGACCAGGGCGCCATTACAGAACAAGGCCTTACTTAGATCAGGTCAAAGGTCATGATTCCGCAATAAGAAAGATATTTAGGACTCTTCAGACAATATTCTATGGACTTTAAAAGTGGAATTTTCTGGAGTCGCGTTTCAGACATGGTGTAGATTTAGCACCACTTGCTTTAAACGAAGGAACCATGAATTTTCATGAAGGAAAACATGACCTTCGACCTTTACAGGTCATTCCTGCTGGAAAACCAGTTGCACCTCCCACAGGACCAGTATGGACGACCCTTACCATCCAAGTTTACTCGTTTGCATTTATTTATTTGTTAGTTCTCCTCAAGCAGTCCAACAGCTGTTTGAGGTCATTTATTCACTCCAAACACCTAAAGATCAGGTGTGAACGCTTGACACCACGCATCTGTCTCCAGTTTGCTCTTAAATTAACCGAGCTGGCGCACACAAACCCTCGAAAGATGGCAAACGGCGCCCTGACAGAGACTCCTTAATTGAGTATCTCTATTTAACTATCGACATCGTAGCCAAAGAAAAGCCTGGAATGAGCCCACAAGCACACGGCGAGGAGGAGAGAACGGCGATGAGACAAAAGAGTGGGGGAGCAGGCAGGAGTGTGAGCACCAATATGGCTGAGTGCGGAGTTTGGGAGCCATTAGGCAGAAGGTAATTAATACCCGTCACTGCACAACTGCCTTTATTCTCTTTCAGACCAATTAAAATGTGACACTTCTCCACTGGAGGAACGTCTTGTTAAAATTAAACGCCTGAGATGCACAGACACCTTTGATAAACATATCCAGAGCTACAATTGGCTTTGGCAGCAACGGCACGCTGTATAGATACGGGAAGGAGGCGGGCGGGGGGGACATGGCAGCATTTGTTCTGCCACTTCCAGTTGGAGCCGTTAGATGTGATTAAAAGTGTGTATCCGTGTGAGTTTCACTCCTGCAGATTGACGTAATGCTTTTAGAAGCCAAGACATGATGATGATGTGCAGAAGAGAAAACGCAGATGTTTGAAAAACCAAACAGGTGTGCAGAAATAAAAGAGCCAACCGGAAGGAGTTTGGAAGGAAGGGAAACAAGCAGGAGATGGGGAATTAAATAAAAATGTGGTGAATTTGTTTAAAGAAGGGAAAAAAAGGATGATATGGAATGGAAAAAAATGGAGGATGGAGAGCGGTGGAGTGATGGATGCAGGCAGGAGACCAGCAGCTTTGTGCCAACATCTCCGTGCATCCTTCCAGACGTCATACTGTGCTGCCATCTGCCTCTCTCTCTCACACACACACACACACATGCGATTTCGCTCACACACGCAAAATCAGCGTCTCCTGACATTGAATAAATATCGAGGGATGAAATCTGTAGAGAAATCACCTGCAGGGAAAATATGATTGGGTGAGATGGTGAACTCGCCACAACGCAATTTGCATGTCATCTAAATGGGATCTGCCCCCAGTGCAGGAAGAGGAAGAAGAAGGGTCAAAAGGAGTCCCGTTAGTAAGGCAGCCTGTCTCTGATTGGCTGAAAGGAGCAACAAGCAGGTGAGCAGCATGACCGCCCCCTTCTGGCCGCTCCGCATCCATCCAACAGACAAAATCTCCAGCTGGGAGTTCGTTGCTTCCTTCGTTTTAATCACACGAGAGATCAGGAATAAAAACAAAGAGCACGAGGATGCAGCACACAGAGTATTTTAGTTAACATACAGTCTTATTTATACATATATTTATAGAGTAAAACTATTTCTCCCACCTATACAGCCTTTGATTGTAACACAAAAAAAAAACAAGACAACCCACATTCCCGGGATGAAAGAGGAAGAAGAAGAGCGGCGCTCCCAACAGTCGTAGAAAACCGGCAGCGCGTGAGCGTGAGGCATCCGTGATCGTTACAAAAATAGGATTAAGGGTGAAACATGGGAGCAGATCGGAGGGGGGGGGGGGGGGGGTCGCTAACCACGAGCGTCGTACAGCAGTCCGGCTCGGTGAAGGAGTCGGTGAAAGCGCGTTTATGGGGGTGGGGGTTAAATAATATAAAACATGTTAGAAAACAGGTCAATAAAGAACGTGAAGTTAAAGAATCAGAACCAAAAAAAATTTAATCAAGGAAAAAGTGCAAATCAGATAAGTACACCCCCCCCCCCCCCCACCCCCCCCAGCTGCTGTTAGTGAGAGGAGATAAAGGCGGAGTAGGGCCTGATGGAGACGGGTGTTATTGCTGAGGACATTTTTATTTGGTGTTAACATATCGGGGGGTGGGGGGTGAAGAGGGGAGTTACGGCTGAGGGTAGTAGGGCTGTTGCTGGGGGGGCTGCTGCTGGGGGGGCTGCTGCTGGGGGTAACCGGGGTAGGATGGTCCAGCTGGAGGAGCTCCGGGGTATCCTCCCTGTCCGGGGGCGGCTTGGTAAGGCATGTAGGGCATGTTGTACTGGCCGTAAGCATACGGGTTGAAGCCCATGGGCATCTGGTAGAAGCTGGAATAAACAAAAATAAACAAACCTTAATTACCATAATAAATAAAAACATCAAGTTTTACTCAGACGTGGAGTCAAGCTCACCCTGGGTAGCCCTGGTAGGACGGGTACGGCGGTCCCTGGGCCTGGGAGGTCGGAGCAACCGGTGGTGGGTTGTTGGAGGGGGGTGGGCCAACGGCTGTGGAGCCGGTGGGTGGGGTGGATGCCGCCTGAGGGTTGAAGCTGGGAGGAGGAGGCCTGGCGGGGGCTTGGGGCTTCTGCGGGGCTTGTTGAGGCTGCTGGGGATGGAAGATAAAAACAGGAAGTGGGATTAACGGGTGTTTAGTTTTAAATCTCACAGGAATACCCGAACAGCATTCCTAGACAGCTAAACCCTGCCGACCTCCACCGTCAAGCCAGAAACTGATGTGTTTGCTTACGAAGACTGTTCTGGGAGCAGGAGTTGGACCGGGGACTGGGGTGGGGGCACCCGGGTTGCTCTGGTAGGCCGGGACGCTGAAGGAGGGAGCGCTGGGCTCCCGAGCGATGCTCTGCTGCAGCTCCCTAGAGCCGGAATCAGAACGTCACAACAGGAAGTGCTCGTTCACCACACATGACAAACCTCTAGAGAACACGCACTTGAGCAGCTCGTCGCGCTCGGTCTTACGAGCAAAAACGATGTCGCTGCATTTGTTCTGGAACTTGAGCAGGATCTCCGTCAGGTCGTTGTAGAACTGAGGAGCAGAAATGAATCATCTGGTTTGCAAACCAGAAGATAAATAAGGAGCGAGGTTTGCGAGTGCTGGGGCGGTACCTTGGTGCCCTCGCGCAGGTTGCTGCAGATCTCCACGTAGCTGTCATGGGCTGACGCCAGCTTCTTCAGGACCTCCTCCCTCTGGTTGGCCTCGCTGTTGGACTGCTTCAAGCTGGCGAACTCCTGGTGGGACGTCTGGAACACGATTCAGACAAAAAGCGCGCTCATGCAGAGTAAGCGGCAAACCTGATCTGCACGCGTTTCCTTCCCCCGCACCTGCTGTGCCGAGCGCTTACCCGTGGTGTTTTGAGATACGCCGCGAGTCTAAAACTCCAGCAGCTCTTTGGTGGGGTAACTTAAGCCGCGTACCTGCACTTGTCCCAGCAGCTCCTCCTGCCTGTGGAGGCTGGCCTGCACCTTTTGGTTGTAGCTGCCGTACAGCTGGTCGAGCTGCGACACGGACAGCTGCTCCTCGTTGATGGCGCCGTCTTGGGCCAGCGCCTTCAGGAAGGCGGTGGACATGTCGAACGTCACGGCCTTGATCTCTCCCTCCAGGACCTCCCTCTCCCTCTTCATCTCATCCAGCTGGGCGAGCAGCGAGCGCAGCACGTTCACCACCTGGAGGAAGAAACGCATCATCATCATCATCTGCAGCCCCACCCCCCCTCTTCCTGCTCTTTCCTCATTCTGCTTGCTTAGTCGTTTATGTTCCCCAGCGACGCTCGGTGCAAAGTCAGCAAACAATATGAAAAATGGGGCTCCTCTTAGGGAGGAGGCGCCATAAAGCACAACGTCCTCTGGGTCTCTGCTTGGCACACAAAACAAACCAGAACAATAAAAACCCAAAGCGGCGCGGAGCCGTCAGACGAACCTCGCTGCCCTGTAGTGTCTTGGTCGGGTTGGCGGAGGGGATGGCGGCGGTGAGCTCGTTCTCGGGTTTACACAGCAGGGCGATCATGTCGCATTGTGTGTTGTAGCGGTCCCTCACCACCTGGTCGGCCTGCACCGCCTTGTCCAGGATGTTACGGAAGTTGGAGCCCTCTGAGAGGAAGAAGAGAGTGAACACATTTCTGTAAACGTGGGGGGAAAGGCGATGACCTCGAGACGCACCGGCACGAAGGGGCTTGTAGAGATCTCCAGATGGGGTTCTGTTCCAGCGCTGGCTGAACTTGGTTCTCAGCTCGTTGTCTGTTGTTTCCTCATCATCCAGCATCTTCAGAGACTGATGGACCAAAATGAACAAAGTCAAAGGCCTTTTGTACCCGAGTGGCCCGATTTAAGTCATTTTGAATCAAATCCTGAAGCTAAGGAACAATTTCACTCAGCTTAGCTAACGTTTTCTGTCAGGTATCGCTCAGCACTGTTGTAGCAGCCATCTTGAGTCGGATCGACTCCAGAGGTTAATCAGTGACACGTGTAAGGGTTCCCTACACTGGCTACCTGTTAAATTCAGAATAGATTTTAAGATCCTTCTTCTCACATATAAAGCTCTTAATAATCAAGCTCCATCATACATCAGTGATCTGATTGTTCCATACGTTCCTAACCGAGCACTTCGCTCTCAGACTGCAGGTTTACTGGTGGTTCCCAGAATATCTAAAATTAGGATGGGAGGCAGATCTTTTAGTTATCAGGCTCCTCTCCTGTGGAACCAGCTCCCAGCTTTAGTCCGTGAGGCAGACACTTTGTCTACTTTTAAGACGAGGCTTAAAACATTTTTATTTGATAGGGCCTATGGTTAAAATCTGATGTTAGCCTAAATCTGGACAAGTGGGGGAGTACAGGGAGGTGGAGTGTACAGTCGGTAAAGACGGCTCGCCCTTGCCCTGCCTCCAACATGCCTCCATCTAAATAGGATAGATTACCCAGAGTTATCTCTGTAGTTATGCTGCTATAGGCTTAGACTGCTGGAGGACATACCGACCACTTTTCACACTCGACTACTTTCTTCTACAATCTGCTCTTTAACTGTATTATTTTCTGCTATTTCAGCTGTTAACTTTATTTTCTCTCTAAGTGTTTTTCTCCCCAGAAGAAGCTACAACGATGTTCTGCTGAGCTGTGGTGGCCTCATGGAGGGGGCCATCGTCTAGCCCACTGCTGCTAACCACTAAAACATTCTCCCTCTCCTGATAATAACTTTTTACTTTCCTTGACGTTGGATGTGCTACTACTAGTTTACCCGCTTAATTATAGATTCACTAGGATAAATACAATAAAGTTTATCTCTCGCCAAATAGAATATTTACTAAGAAATCACAATGCAACCATAGACACGTTACTTGGTGTGCGTGTGTGTGTGCGTGTGTACATCCCCAGTGAGTCGTGGAGGATGGCTGCTTATACGGAGCCAGGATCCTCTGGAGGTTTCTTCCTGTTAAAAGGGAGTTTTCCTCTCCACTGTCGCTAAATGCTTGCTTAGTATGAGGATCGCTGTAAAGATGCAATTTGCTGGGTTCCTTATATAGGAAACATTTTTTCTGATTGGCTTAATGAACTGACCTGGATTGGAATGTTTATTATGTGAAGTGCCTTGAGACGACTCTTGTCGTGATTTGGCGCTTTATAAATAAAATTGAATTATCACAAAGCATCAATAAGATCCATTCAGAAGTTGAAGAAAAACACAAAAACATCCTAAAACGACCTCATTTCTCGATGTTAAAGGGTTGTGGTAAAAATGAAAAGCTAACAACTTTCTGTTTCTGGCCTCTAAAACCACTTTTTACTTTTACATTTGGCTCGCTGTGCAAAATTACTTTTTATTGGGGGGTTTGAATGTTTTCAACCGATTAGTTTTTTTAACTCGAGAAAAACTTGGAGACAAACGATGATTTTTGCTTCATGTTTTTCCTTCCGTCTGTTTCATTGTTTGTCAGCAAGCTGTTTTAAAGACGCGGGCCGGCTGGAGACGGTGAACCGGCAGTTCTTGGCCCGTGGATCAGTGGATTCGATTTCTGAGATGATCCTGGTCTGGGATTTACGCCATTAGTGAAGATTTGGAGTTTTTAGGCATTAATGCGCTCCTCTAGTCGCCTTGGCAGGAAAACGCCAGTCAGCCACTAAACATTACTCCCACGTGCTGCTCTGCAGAGGAACGAAGCAGCCATATGGCGGCCGTCCTGCCTCTTGTTCTTTACTTTTCCCGACTTCCACCACTCACCTCGTCCAGGATCTCTCTGTTACGAGTTAAAAGCTCAGGAAGGTCTTTGATCAACTTCTCGATGCTCTGCAGACCTCCCTGTCCCACGATCGATTTGGACTTCTCAGCGATGGATTGTGGGATGCTGTCTCCTGACAGGTCCTCCAAAGCAGCAGGAAGGTTGAGAGACGCCAGCACCCTAACAAGGTTAGATTTGAGTTCGGCAGGTCAGTTTTATCTGATAAATCTTTGATGTGATCACTGATGGCGCTGAGGAGGAGCTGGTACGGATCAACACACCCGTTGCAGAGATTGGTGGCCTCCCTCATGGCTCCCACTAGTCTGTTCACCGTCTCTGCTTTCCTCTGGCTGTAGATGCTCATGGACTGCTGCACGGCCATGGGAACCATCTTCTCAAACAAATCTATAGAAACAGATGAAAAACGACTATTTAGACAGAATATTTATTAAGCGTCCGATCGACCGTTCGGCAAAGCCTTTTCAGCCTCTAAATCTAAATTAAATGTTTAGTGAAAAACTGAAAAAATCTAAAACTAAAACAAATTCAATATGAGGATGTTAATGTCTACAAATGTATTAATATACTTCATTTGATATTATTTATAATTCTTTGTAGCCTTTTTTTTTTTACCTTAAACTATAAGCTGCAGATTAAATATTTCCAAGTGTGTTACCTGGAGCCAGACCCTAAAGAAATCAGCTGGTGTGTTTAAGTTTCCGTGCTTCAGGAGAGCCGTGTCCCACTCCCTACAGGAAGCTGACCCACCTCTTGCAGGGAAGTCTTTGTGGAAATGGCTAAACGTACGGTTGTTCTGCTAAGAACATTAACTGGTTAAGGAAAAAAAAATTCATTTTATTTTTCTAATTAATTAGATCTAGTTTAAATTTTTATTTTGAAAAAATCTAATTTCATGCATTTAATTGATTTTTATAAAAACGTACTTATTTTTTTAAAAATCAAATTTTTTTATAAAAAATTTCTTTAATTTTTTTTATATATTTAATTTTCATTAAAACTGACAAAAACCCTTAATTATTGAATATATACATATTAATTGTAAAAATTTCTCATTTGATTTTTTAAAAATTACTTAAAAATATTTTTTTATTTATAAAATTTGCGTATTTTGCTAAGTTCTCATTTTATTAATTTAAATTAGTTTTAAAAAAAATCTTAATTTTACATTTAATTTTTATGCCGCCTTTTTGATGAGGTGGTTTATTTTTCTTCTCTTAAATCCTCGGGACTTCATGTGGAGTGGTGCGATCCCGAGAGCTCTAGCAGGGGATCAGCCTACCTGTGAACTTCTGGCTGAGTGGAGGTGTGATGGCGGTAGCCTTCACCAGTGCCGCCTTGCCGATCTGCTCCAGGTCTTTGACCTCGGGGACTCGGTCGTGGTAGATAAAGTCGTTGTCCTTCTTGGCTGCGTTGAGAGCTCGGTTAATCTTCTCAGCCAGGTCCTTCACGCTCACATACTCGTCGTAACGAGACCTAACGGTCTTCAGCAGATCTGCTGCGTGCTGCAGAGTTCAACGTCGGAGTTTAAGAGTCACACGAGGAAAAGTGTGATTTCTCACTAATAAAAACACAACCTGCAGACGAGCGATCTCCTCTCCAAAATGCTTCTTCTGTTTGGCGAGGATGCTCTGGTGCAGCTCGGCGCTGGCTTGCATGATGCCTTGTTTAGCCGCCAGCACCGGCAGCACTTCCTGAAAATAAAAATACTGACCAGGGAGAGGCAAACGACAGGAAAAAAACCCACACGGGCATGCAAACACGCATACACAACAACAACAACAACACACGTGTGACGACCAGGTGACAAACCAAATGCACACCAGCAAAAGCCAACCACAAACGGGCACGAGCAGCGAGGAGCGTGCAAACACAACACAAGCGCAAACGCACAGACGAGCAGCGCCGCCGCCACGAGGGATACAGGAAGTGGAGAAGACGACAACGGGAGAGAAAAAGAGAAGAAGCCATGAGTGTTTAACCTTACAGCAAAAGCTGCTACACCTCAGAGAAGCACCCCACATCTGTGTTCAGTGTGTGTGTGTGTTTGTGTGTGTGTGTATTAGAAATGACAGAAGCTGCTGAACATCCCCACATTCTAAATCTGCCAGAATGAATATAAACAACAAAAACTCATTCTTAAGGGTTGGTGTTTAGGTGAGCAGGGTCAAACATAAGGAGCTAATCTGTTCATGTGTAACAGAATTCATCACATCACCAGTTAGAAGGTTAGAGGACTATTTTATCATCATGAAGTGGTGAAGATAGGACACGCAACACCGTTTGCACGTCAGTCAAACACAGTCTTAATTTCATTTGTTGCATTTATTTATCTTAATGTTTTAATTTATGTCGGATCATCTCAAATCAGATGCAACGAAGGTCCGGTTCGCACGGCGGCTTTTTTTTTTTTTTTAAATTGTCAGACGATTTTCCAAACAGGAGACCACACACACACTCGTAGGAATAAAACATCTCGGGTATGCCCGTTTAGTCCTGAAGTGTGTGTGTGTGTGTGTGTGTCTGGCCACATGGCCAAAGCAACACACAAACCCATTTCCCACATGAACATTCCCGGTAAGACGGGAAATATCTCGAGAACGTGAGTTTGGAGTAAACAAACATGGCGGAGGAGGAGCATGCTCTGTTTACTCGTTTTCTGACACGTCACATTCGACAGGCAGAACGCTGGTTTGTTCTCAGAATCGGAGGCCCTGTCCACACGTAGCCGGGGATCTGCCAAAGCGTATATTTTTCTACGTTTTGGCCTGTCATTCACACGAAAACGGATCTTTTTAAAAACTCCGGCCAAAGTGAAGATCTGCGTTTTCTCCGTTTTGGGTGTCTGCGTGTGGACGGACAAAACCGGAGTTTTAAGGTCCGCAACGTCACTTTCCGCGACAAAAAAATGCTGACATCACGCGTGCGACCTGTGTTTACACTAGCCGACAGCATGGATGCCCTCAGAGCTGCGCTCGCTTTATCAATTGTCCAAGCGCTTTTTGCTTGTTTGTTTTTGCAAGCGGAATTACTGCTCCTTGCGGAAGACCACAGACGAAGGACGAGGTTAAGAACGGGGGAAGTACTGCCGCCTACAGGTCTGGCATGTCCTTAACAACGTATTTATCCGGGTACGTGTGGACAGAGTTTTTTTTTTAAACGAGGTGGTGTGGATGCAAGTTTTTGGAGGGGCGGATATTCGTTTTTTAAAAAACCCGGCTACGTGTGGACTAGGCTGGAGAAAGATGATGTTAAACATTCCAAAGGATTAAAATGAAGGCAACTACACTTCTTTAGTTTGTTGAAGACATTCTGCTTCTCGTCCAATGAGACCTCAGTGGGTCCTTGATGCAGTTAGATCCTATTGAGTTACAATGGTTAAGATACAGGAGGGTGTGACCTAGACTGAAACGGTTCTGGAGTGATGTCCCACCCTCCTGCATCTAATCCAAGCAACCATTCTAACACAACAGAACCCAACAACATCAACGACTCCTCGGGGGGTAGGGAGGAGGGGTATTCATAAGTAGTTTCAGCTAATTTGTCAACAGACAGACAACTACAGTTGATAAGCTCGACACTATTGACAAAGCGAAACGTCCACAAGAAACCAAAGAAGTCCAGCTGCCTTCATTTGAACGCTTTGGATTACGAGAACCGTCACCAGCATGTGTTGAATAACCCCGATTTATGATCAGAGCCGTCCCGAACTCCTTTCGGACACACCAGTGCGCTCATTTCACACAACAGATGGCAAGATTATCTGATGACATCATCTTTAGAGCCATAACGGTAATCAGTGGCATCTTTACGACATTCGGAAGAGGAGGATCGGATCGGCTTGATTATTTTTCCACGTGAACCGGGCCTTAGTTTCAGAGGAAGTAGTCTCACGCTTGTTGCATTTTCCGAGACCTTAAGCCTCGCCACGTCTCTCCGACCCAAAACGTGCAAGGAATTCCTGAAAATTCTCTCCCTGAAGACAGTCGCAGCTCAGAGAGAGGTGCTGGTTTTAAAAATCGCAATTCCCAGTTTTAAAGTCCAGAGCTGCCCGATGTTGGACGGAGAGAAATCAGGAAGAGAACCAGCTCAGCCGGGGTTTAGTTCCAACCAATCAGAGCGAAGACAGGATGGAGAAAAGACCAGTGAGGACAGAGAGGTTGCGAGTCCCACACCCTGTCTCTCAGGCTGGGTGGGTGCGGTTCGCTTACTTTAGGAAGCGTGTCTTTGTACTGGCACTGCTTGAAGGCATCGCCGTAGAAATCTGCCGCCTGATTGGCCAGTTTTGCAATCACGGCGTCTTTCATCTTATCTGTAGAGAAAACAAAGACGCTTTTAAAGACAAGAAAAACTCTGGAGATGAGCTGCGATCTCTAAAAGCGACGGGCGACAAACTGATGAGCAGTTTTCTGACGATCTGCTGAGAATCTGTTAATAACCGTGACTCCTCGCTCGTGTTTTAACACCACGGTGTGAAGACGTTGGCCTCACATCCTGCAGTGTGTGAAAACTCATTTACAGCAAAAACTTTACTCAGCAGATTAAAAAAAGGACGTTTTTATGATGTAATGTACTAAACTGCTTTATGTTACAGGAAACTTTGTGCAGACAGATCTGGGACAGGGGCTGCTGCTCGGATCTCGACGGCTCGTCGAGGACGGAGATTAATCTTAAAAATACTTGAAAAAAGAAAAGCGTGTCAAATGTAGGAGACTAAAATGTCTGGAGTTCTGGGCCTTCAGTACCTGATGTGGCTTTGAGGAAGAAGACCTCCTGAGCCTGAGCCAGCATGATGCTGCTCAGGGTGCTGACGGTCTCGGGGCAGATGTCCATGGTGGGCTCTCTGTTCAGGGCCGACAGGACCGTGTCCTTAATGTGACTGAAGGCGCTGCTGGCCAACTGGAAGAGGAGAAACAGGGATGAGACGGGAGATTCTGGAAGTATTTGTGGTTTAAACCTTCCATTCACTCGGTTTTTCCATTAATCTGCTTTGGTCTCTAGTATAAATGAATGAATGAATTCATGTCTTGAGTTTTCTGCGGGGAAAAAGCTCTGGTGCTCCCGTTTCAGGAAATCGGAGTCAGTCAGAAAAGTTGGACAGCGACAGGATCACGAGTCTTACTCATTAATATTCATGATGTGCAAACGTCTAACCTGTGATTGGCTAACAGCAATGCTACTCTTCTGCTGCCTTCGTTAACTTTTATTTCTAAAAAAAAAAAAAAAAAAAAAAGAACACAACGTTGATGTTTTATTCTCCAACGACAGCAAGCCCAAACCAGTTTCGCCATGATGTAGAGTGGCTAATGCTAATGGCTAGCTTCAACTAGCCTTTCACCGTCACAAGCCAAAGCGGGCGGGGCTGAATGTTTATTTTTCCTCTGCAGCTAATCTAGGCAATGGGCGTGGTCTAAGCAGGCTTCAGGAAGCCAAATTTAAACATTTTAAGACCTTTATTAAGGTCACTTTATGAGATCTATAATTTTAAACCTTTATTGGAAATGAAAGCACCCAAAATAACACAAATAAGAAGATGATTGCCCCGGAGAAGACACAAATGCAAGTATTTTCCCCAAACACAAACAACGCAGTACCTTTAAACATGCACACCCCCATGGCTAATTCATCCTCTAGCTAAAGCAGCTAATGTGCATAGCTGAAAATAGACCCCACCCCCACCCCCACACCTGAATGAATGAACGAATGTTGGTTGGTTGCGCTTATATGTCTCAAGCACAAAATTGCAAAAACACCAAATAAAGATTCCTGAAATTCTTTAGAGACTTCCTAACATCAGTCTTGATGATTGGGCCTGTGACATTTTTAGGACCGTTGGACTTTGGATTTAAGGATTATTTGAAATTTTTAAATGATTTTTAAGGCCATAATTATAGAAAATATGTTTGAGCCCCAGAGATCCAGGAGCTGCCCCAGAGCGCAGGGACCCCAGGGAGACTGTAACCAGAAAAGCCCCAGCCCCCTCTCGAGAGGCGCAGAGGATTGCCCCCCTGAAGGGGGGGGGGCGCACAACCAGCAGCCAGCAGAGTCTCGGGAGATATCAGCGGCAAGCCCACAGGCCCGCCTGCAGCCTCCCACCCCCCAATCCGGCCGAGCCCGGAACCCAACGACCCGGGACCCAGGGGCGACCACCCCGCCGGTAACCCAGCAGAGCCCAGGGACCCAGACCCCACCAGACGCCAAAAATCTTAAACCCCCTGACCTGGGAGCCGGGAACACTCAGGCAGACCAAGGCAGCGCACTCCACACCAGATGTGGAAGAGGGGGGAGGCGAAGACGTGTAGCAGCACAAGAAGTCCCAGGAGAGGGGAAGAGTCCAAGACCTCACCTGACATATACAGTCATACACAGACACAGTCACACACTCCCTCCCTCATGCTCACACATGCACAACCTGAGACTTACAAAAATGGACGCTAGACACTCACTGACGCTCCCCATACACACCCTATGCACTCTGGTCCCGGTACTGCTGCACAGAGGGTACAACCATCCCCGGTTCCCAGAGTTCGACCCTTCCTGCTGGGGTGCTGATGAGCAGGCTCCCCCACCCAACGCCGAGCAAAGCAACCCCAGACTGAAGGTTTTAAGGAGCCGCAGACACTCGGAGACCAGACTTGTATCTTTTTCATGGTTCCTCTGTGAACGAGACACTTACATGTAAACAAATATGGTGCAAAACTGTTGCTCTTTGTAAGGTTATGTTAAAAAGCTGCGCGAATCTTCCTAAATATGTAAAACACTAGGGCTACTCGATTATGGCAAAAATAATAATCACGATTATTGTGACTGAAATTGAGATCTCGACTATTTGCAGGTCCATCAGTTAATGTAATAATTGTCCCAACCACAGCTGCACCCCCACCCTAACCCGGCCTCACAGCAATCGGGGCAAGCTGCACGTGTGTTTAGCGTGCCACACGCGCACATTTAGCCGTTTTTAGCGGCTCAGGAGCCCGCAGGTACGGTGTGTGTCACTCACTCTGGTTACTCCAACAAGGAGCCGGCTCTGAGAGCAGTTTTTTAGCAACCAACACATCACTACATCATTCCCATTCCTGATGTCCTGAAGAACGGTCCAGAGCGCAGGCGGAGGGTTTAGCTAACCTGAAGGGAAATGTCGACGACAGTTATCCAGAAAGTAGCTAAGGGTTACCAGAGATGTTTCTCAGGTGTTCGCTAGGTACTTTTAAGTCAAAAAGTCAAGAAGGGGGTCTGAAAAGCTGCTAGAAATAGCGTCAAAGTCGCCAAGTTGGCAATACTGTGGGAGGAGCGCTTCATTTGCAACTCAGGGCAGCACAAGTGGGAGGAGCAAATAATCGGCTTGTTTTGTTTTTATAATCGTTCAAAACTCAGATCGTAATCGGGATGAAAATTCGATTAACTGAGCGGCCCTAAACTTTGATGCACGTTAAAGCTCTGTAAAATAATGCTTTTAGCACATGCATAAATAATGATGGTTTCTCGTCCCTAATCCAGAACTTTCTCTTCTAAAGGACCATTTAGTGGACTTAATAACTTCAGCACAGGCCGCAAACTCATCAAAATTACTCCATTAGGTACAAATCTTGAGAAGATGAAAATAGTTATTTTTCTGCGTGGAGATGACGATTTTTTTAAAAGGGAAAGCCTAAATAAACACAAATATGTGTGTAGCTGTCAGTTGTTTGTTTATTTCAAACACTTTGAAGAATTTCCAGCCGGGGGCACTGTTGTCTGATCAGTAGCTGACTGATCCTGTGTGAAACCAGAAGTTGCTCAGTAGTCCATATGAAACACAGCTGTGTTGGCAAAGAAAACTTTCTGCAAGGAAACACGCCCTGGCTGAGCTAGGAGATGGAAGTTTGCCTCAAACGAACCATCAGAATGGAGGTACATGTTTAAGAAATGTTTGGACATTAATATTGAGTTTATTTTGACCGTGCACTGATGTGTGATGGTTGGTTATGAGCCCAATCCGGAGATTCTGTATTGTGTCACACAGCATTCCAATAGGATCTGATATACCGTATGCAGCCCCTGGGAAAGTGGAGCAAGGTACATGATTTACTGCTCCTGTGTTTAAAGGGACTTTATGGAGTTTTGGATTTTCATGCTCGCGATTGCCCCCTCAGGCCAAAAGCGTAACGGCAGCTACAATAGTAGGCTCGTGCACGAGGCGCATGCTGTACGTGCACACTCCTTAACGAAAATAACAGCTGAGACAGGTGTGTGTGTGTGTGTGTGTGTGTGTGTGTGTGTGTGTGTGTGTGTGTGTGTGTGTGTGTGTGTGTGTGTGTGTGTGTGTGTGTGTGTGTGTGTGTGTGTGTGTGTGTGTGTGTGTGTGTGTGTGTGTGTGTGTGTGTGTGTGTGTGTGTGTGTGTGGCCCGGAGGACAGAGGACAGGAGAACACGCAGCTAATTAATTAAATAATTAGGTTCTGTACCTTTCTCTTCAGCACAGCCGACAAAGGTTTATGATGGGTCAGTCCTCCTGCATGCTCAGATCATTCCCTTCCCTTGCTTGAAAAATTGTTCCAAAATGAAAGTTGAACCCACATCTTTTTTATCTGTGAATTCAATGCCGTTCGGCGAGTCTCAAATAAAAATTTGGGCATCTTACTGTAAAAAAATATACCATTAATTTAAAAAGAAACTCTAAATAAACTAAGTTCACATCCAGAATCAAACCCAGGTCTTCTGCATGGGAGTCAGACATCTTACAAGGTGAGCTACACTCTAGTAACATTCATAGTATCTGTAACATTTATATCCTTGATGACAGCTGAAACAACGTCAAACCAAAGAACGGTTCGAAGTGAAAATGGCTATTTTGTTGCTAATTTGCAGGAAATATCTAGAAGAAAGTTCTACAGAAAGTAGCTAAGGGTCCTCAGAAATGTAGCTAGCTTTGTCACTAGGCGTTAGGAACAGCGACAAAGTGGCACTGCCTCTCTCTCTGCTGCTAAAGCTACGGATAGCAAATGCTACGGGCTATGCCTGAGCGTGAACGCGCATGAAGCAGCCTGCTCGACCCGAGCATCTCTCTTTTTCTGTGATTTTACAGAAAAACAGGCAATCACAGTAAAAATGCCAGGGCTCATTCTACAGGACCAGGGCATTGCAGGAGAACGTATGAAGAAGACATTTATTATTTCTATACATGTTTTGGCTGTCAAACTTCCTTATAGTCCCTTTAAGATGTGTGTTTTGTTTTTGTTTTGTTTTTGGGTTGCTGTAACCCTTGCTCATTTAACCGTTTGCACAGTTTTCACGGTCTGATGGTTGACCTCATCAACAGAAGTAATTTCAGATGAACAGAAATAAAATCTCTGCACCAGTCGAGGCTTTCTCATCGCTTTTCCCTTCCTTCAATCCTGGGACTGCTACAATGCGTCTTACGGCACACACCTGATAGAATCTAGCAGCAGCCTTGAGACACTCGTCGTTGTCCACGTTCTGTTCGGCAGCGATCTGACTGGCCAGGGCGGCGCAGTTAAACAACACGCACGTCTTCTCGTAGCCCAAACTGGCCAAAGCTGGAAGTGGAAAAACCCACAAAAACAGACAGTCTGTCAAACGCCAACTACAAAAACTGATTAGTGCGAGCATTTCAGTGTTACGTCTAATTTTAAGTCCAGTTCACAACCATTTAAGTCCAACTTGTTGGAAGCAAAGATAAATAAATTAAACTTTTGCACAGTTCTGTCTGGACTTACAGAGCTTGACGGAGCCTCCAAACAGAGATCCTTTATCAAAAGCATCCTTCCATGTGAAAGTCAAGCAGAGCTGCAGGAAACAGAAACAAGCTTTGTGTTCACAGCTCTTCTCTAATCAAAAGTTAAATCCAGTCACAAGCGGCGGATCGAATCCGTTACCTGGTTTTCTGAGAAGGGAAACTTCGGCTCGATTGCACACAGCTGATCGTAGTATCTGTGGACAAAAGGACGAGGAACAAAGGATGAACTCTGGATCATGTTTGGTTGCCAAGTAAGTAAAGTCAGCTATGCGCTGATGGATGAGAACTGGGTTTATCGAAGACCTACAGGTATCTGACAACGAGTCAACAAAAAAATAAATAAACTAAGGAGGGAAGGTTCGCTGCAGCACTCACACAAACGCTGAGTCAGCGGCTGCTCATCAGTCACAAGCCTGTGATGTGATGTCAGTCTATTTTTAGACGTGAACCGGGAAAAACATAACAGGGACTCCCCTGTTTGCTGATCCATCTTAAAGAGTTGAAAAGTAAACAATAACAATCCTACATAACAACATGAAGTATGTGCTTCCATTAAACACACAAGGACACAAGCGCACGTTGACGGAGGAAAGCTGAGCCGAGGCGTGTCTCCAGGTCCAACTAAAGGGAGAGGAATGAAATACCCATCCCATGTAAACAGTGGTAACCATGGCGACACACAAGAAGCAACTGAAGAGCTCGTTGCTCTTGACTACACGGCACGGGGTGAGGAGATAACAGAGAGATGATGATTAGTCCATCACAAGCATGTTGACCTCAAAACTCAGGTCAGCTCAGGATCCACTGCAGAGTTAAAATTATTATAAAGTGACCTTGTTAGAAAGTTCGGCTCATTCTCCTCGAAAAAGGACGCAACTGAACCTAAATATGATCACTAGCTTCACTCTCACGTGTTAAATATTTACTTCCTGCACCAGGATGAAGAGGCGTGTTTAAAACCCCCCAGTGGTTAGACAGATACACTGAAACTTAAGGGAAAAAAATCAAAACAAAGGGGAAAAAATGGATGAGCAGCTCAGTGAAACATGAATACTTTATTTGTCAAAAACTTCCTTTATGCAAAGCGGTGCGGTGATGTTCATAACATCGATTGACAGGAACACTGCCGGAAAGATCTTCGGTGCGCCTGACTAAAACCTTTGCAGAGGACAGAAATACAAATCAATACAGCAGTCTCTTTTAATTCTTAATGCTAAAATGTTGTATTAATGATCACCTCTGTGATGAAGCTGACCTGTGATGACACGGCTGTGTTTGCTGTAAATGTCTGCTCACTGCTAGAGACCAAAGAGTTTAACCTGCTTAGATGCGGGCATGTAATATACAGAAACCAAGCACTGTCTCACTGCTTTCAAAGCATTTAGACTAACATGAGTCAGCTCTAATTCAAAATCTAAACTGCTTACACTAGTTAAATCTAAAGTGGACAGTCTTGAACTAAATACAAATTACTTAAAACACAAATTAAGGCATGTGAAACCCTTTTTCTACATTTGTGAACGTTTTAAAAATGCCTTTTTTACTGCATTTTGGGTGGACTGATGGACGAGTGGAGCTGCTCGAATATTTTCAGACTAAAAAATATATAAAACGTTTGGAAATGGTCAATATTAGTGCTACTTGAGATGGGCCGACAGAACAGATCCAGCTTATTTATAAAAGCAGACAAAAGATGACTAACAAGTCTCATTTAACCTGCTAACATGGTTCATTTAACTGGATGAGTTAGTCAGCGAACGTCCATTAATGAAGCATTTTAGCGTTAGCTTCCATGCTAGCAGCTAAGCTAACCTTCTCAGGGTGCGGCGACTCACTAAGCTAGCTCACTTACACCGATAACAAAGTTTCACGAGCTCTTTAAAATCTGTTTTCTCGGGTTCGTGTCCTCCAAAAGATGAGTTTTTACCGCAGTAGGATCTCCAGGGAGCTTTCGTGTTTGTCCAACGGCCTTCCCAGCGCGTTCTTGCGGAGCTTGTTCAACTCCTCCACAGCACGGAGATACTCCGCCTGCTCCTCGCCCGATGGGTACGAGGCTGTGACAAACTTCGACAGAGGCTTCACCAGATCTACTTCGGAGGACTTTTTCAACGGGACTGAAATAAACGACGCCATTTCGGCCCGTCGAGTGACTCTGAATGGGAGGAAAGAAAAAAAAAAAAAACAGCACAAAAATCTTAAGGCGACGAACACAAACAGCGACCGACCCACTTCCTGGATTCTGACAGGCAACGTCGATGACGTCATGGATAACGGAGGAACGAGCTGCGCAGAATCAGTAAAACTCCTCAAATGAATTTTAATATAACTTATTATTCAGATGTATTTAATATTTGAAAATTAAGACAAATTTTAATAATGAATTCCAGTTTTTTCTCTGAACCAAAAATAAAGGAGGCAACAGATAACAGAATTTCTCAATCAATACGCATTTTTAAACAATTGTATGCTGTTTGCGAATATTACTGGTCTAAAATCAATCAGGACATAACAAAAACCCTTTTTGAGGCACACAAATTTGGAAAGAAAGTAAATATAAGAGACAAATTTTAAAGCTACTGGAAGTTTTATTAGTGAATACACAATCCTCTAAATTAAAACTAAATGCTGGTTCTTTTCAATCTCTAATCTCCACCATAAAAAGATTTTTAAAGTGTGACCAATGTATTTATCAGTTTCTGATTCAGTGTTTAATATTTTATTTTTTAGCCTTGTGCATAATTAATGATACTTGTGTTTCAACAATTTCAATAAAAGAATCATTGACTGCAGTCATACAAGTAAGAAAACTAACTTTTACAAAGATGCAGCTGCCGGAAAACTACAAAACTAAAAAGCCTTTGCAACAACAAAGAGCCAGAACACGAGGAAGTTCTGAAATCATTTATTCCCAGCACGTGGTCGTGAACATCTCCAGCATATGATACTGTGCACACGAGAAGCATCTTTAACTGCGGTCACCTCTCCGGCTCGCGCTCACAGACTGGACTCGACCTGCTCCGCTAATCGTAAGCGTTGAGGAACGGTTTTTACTGTAAACACGTCACACAGCTACAGTCCTGGCTCTGGTGCGCGGTGAGACAGAAACAGCTGCTTTATTGTCGTTTTTGTTTGTCATCAGATCGGATATGAAGGATGGGGCTGTAGGAGCTACGGACTACACATCAAGCTAGGAATTTGTGAATTCCTTCCAGTGCAGGCTTGGTCTTCATTGTATGAAGGGGAGGAGGAAGGTAGAAGGGGAATACACTCACTTACAAATTTATATCTCCCAGATTTCCACATGCTCTTCACTAAACAGCAAGCTAAACACAACTTTTTCCATACTAACTAAAAAATAAAAGGTCAGTGTGATGAGAGTGGTGCACACGTTCTAAACCCGCTCCTTTAGCGCTGCTGGGCTGCTGCTACGGCCCGTCGGTAACCAGTTTGGTCCGCTTTATAGTACGTTTGCTGATCAGCGTGGTAATAAAGAGATTATTTATCATCTCATTCAACACGTATGGCCAAAAATCCCCAAAAGCATAGGTTTATACTGGTGTTTTGCAGATGAGGCAAAAAGGAAAAGGATGAAATGCTCTAAATGTCAGCAAATAAGCCAGTATGGCACCAGAACAGTAAACACACAGAGAGCAACAAAAACAGCGTTTAAGAAATAAAAACAGCTGAGCTGAGAGACATCATGTTCACCGAGATATGGCTACGTCACATAGAGCGTGTTTCTATGGGACACGAGTTCATAAAATCACAAATGGTGCCAAAATCCACAAAACGAGGGCATTTTTCGCTCTTTTACCCCGGATAATTTACCAAGCTCAGCTGACCGGTTAATTAAGACGTCCTCGTCTAGAAGTAAGCAGAGTGAGAAGGGTTTCTCTGTTCTAGGAGTTAAAAAAAAAACGTTGAAGATGTTTCAGCTCTCATCTAAAAGGCTCCTTGAGTTCTGATCCTAGGTTGGGAATTCTGGACTTAAGACGCCTTAGACAGGGGAGGAATGTTTAATATAAATAACAAAAAAGTTAAATCATGAAATCTTTAAAAAAAAACTTCAAATCTGCCTCGATTCTTCTCCCCAGCTGAGTTCAAACTCCACCATCAGAAATGGGAAGCCTGTTGGGATGAGCGGTGAAACGTCTTCCGGCCGTGTCCTGGATGAGTAAGAGTCGACGCCGGCGTGTTTCTCTGCTGCCATTCGGCACTCGCTTTAATCAAATACTGGCCAAGTGCTGGTTGAGTGCGTCGTGTACGGAGGGGGAACGAGCAACGAGGAAACTCTTCTTTCCTTTAGTCTCTAGTGGAATAGAGCGCCCTCCATCCCTCCGCCTCGGAGCCTCCGCCCTCCCGTCTCCACACAGAAACCACATAAAAAAAATCGAAGTGAAACAGCTACTCCCCGATCCCGTATCCTCCCAAATCTCTTCTCTCAACTAATCTCCTTCTTCAATAATGTTTTCAATATGAAACAGTGGAAGCCCCCATGTCAGATTCTAACATTTACATGGCTTTAACGCAGCTTTCCATCAAGCTATCATCATCATTATTATCATTATAATTACTAATAGCAGGGATCGGGAGGATACGGAGCTACAGAGTAGAGGCAGGCGGAGGCTTCTGCTCCAGAACAGAGGGGCGGAGCATCAGCGATGCCGTCGGTCCTCCGCGCTACTTCAAGATCAGATGAAGTCCTTCACCCAACTCATCTGGAGGGACAGCAGAAAAGAGCGTTAGATCCTCGTCAAACAGAAACAAGATGGCTCTTAGGGAAGGATGTGGCCGACCTTTGACGGTGCTGATCAAAAAACAGCTCTCGTCGGACAAGTTGTAAACCATCTGGAGGAGAAAAATACAGAACTTCAAACTTCAGAGCAGCTTTATAATCTCAACTTTCTGGTTGTTCGGAAGCAATGAGATGGCAGGAGTTGTGTTTGTGAGCGAGCGAGACTTTGAATAACATGCAAATAAAAGAGAGAGAGAGAGCAGAGCTATTCGGCAGAAGCCTGAAAACAAAACACCGACTCCGAGGCTGGCTCTTCAATTGAAATCCACTCAAAAATAAATATTTTATTCAGGGATTTTTTTCGTCCTAAGAATTAGGATAAATTCTAACATTTGCATCCCGTCGCTCTGAACACACTTGAGATTTTCTGTCTAAACATTTTATTTTATTCACATCTTTGAATAATATTTGATGAACACATTACTTTTTATTTTGTTTATTTTAATTTTTTAGGGCAGATTCACATTTTAGAAATGAAAATAAAGTAATGTCATCGTTTTAAACACAAAAATATAATAATTTTTTAAAACACACACACACACACACACACACACACACACACACACACACACACACACACACACACACACACACACACACACACACACACACACACACAGGAAGCTTCAGTGGCGTGGATGTTGCTGCTACAAACAGAATCCATTCCAGTCTGTGGGGGTGATCCAAACCGGCCGTGGGAATTTTCAGACGCGTCCCAGAAGCGGCACGTGCCGAAGACTGAATCAGGTTCTACTTTTGCTGCAAGCCGCTTCTGGGACATGTCAATTTCCAACAGTTAACATTGAAAATGGAGGAAAGGCGATGTCGCCTCCCGTGTGTCGAGCGCCTAATTATTACGAAAAATTGCGTTTACAGCTGCAGCAAAAGGTCTGAGCCATGTGTCTGTGTCCTACACGCGTTTTTAAATAACACAGGTCTGATCTAAAATACTAACCTACATCTATAAATCCATCTGGAACCGCACCGCGACTTCTGGACTCCGAGTCCTGTTAGCATGACTGCAGCAACACTGCTAACGGTGTTAGCGCCGATAAGGAAAAAACAAGTTATTTGGGAAAGCTACGACACACACACAGATATAATCTAAAAGACGATCCCCATATCAACAGATCCTCCATGGACCGGTAGAACCTCCGTGCCATCCTGGATTAGAGCAAACGAGACAAACTAAGGAGTTACTCCAGCATCAGGAAGATTTATTCTGGTGAGCTATTAGTTATATATTCTCCGGAGGTATATCAATAAATTCATGGATCGGTAGAACTGGCAGCACACATTTCTGTAGATTACTGATCTATATTGGGACACATGATGGAGTTAAGACCAGCTGAGAACTCGTCAGCTTAGAGCTCCCGGTGGAGCACAGAAATGAAATATTTAACAAAAGTAAACAAACTGTACCGATTTTGGTTCTGAAGATGAACAGAATCCACCTCGATGTTAAAATAGGGTCGCAGTTCTTCGGAGTCAAACGGTCTAAAACATGTCTGCACCTCCAATTCTGATATCCAGTTGCAGGGCACGGAGTTCGGCTGAACGTCTCCGGTAATCCAACATCCGTTCTTGTCGCCGTATCCCAGAGTAAAACCTAATCTGACCGACTAGCAGAGGCTTCAGAAGCTACATCGGACTGATGACAGGTTGTTCTCTGCTATAACGCCAACGCAGAAACACCGGAGACAGGCATTGTTTACTATTGCGGTTTCAGCAGAGCGTCTTGTGAAACGTCACCAGCTGCCCAGGGCTTTCCGTTTTTCCCGCGCCGGCCAAAAACATCAGATTTTCTTTAAATTCCAGCCGTAAAAATCCCAAAACCTTTATCATCTGAGGTTTTAATACTCCGTTACACGTGCCGTTCAAAGGCCTCTGGCTGATATCTTTAAGTTATGGATGAGATTTTTCTTTAAACCAGTTTTTTTTAAACAAGTTGTTTATGAAACCCGACCCGTTTTCCACAGTTTTAACATTAATTGCGACCAAAACCTTTAGGTTGAAAATAATAATCAAAATTAAATCAAAACTGAAAACATTCATGTATTCATCAGCCTTTGAATGAGTGTTTCCTGCACTGTAACTGCTCAGTCTTAAACTTTGCCTTTTGATCTTATTCTTATAACTGATTTTATTTGTGTGTTTTAATTCTGACTTTAAGATCTGCTGTTTTATGTTGCAACATCGATTTTAATGTTCTTGCTGCTGGACAGCACATTGAATTCGAGTACGACATGCGCTCTACAAACAAAGCTGCCTTGACTCACTGAAAAACAAAACTAATTGCTGCTAAATCGGGTCTGTAAAAAATGCCAATTTTAAAAACGGACATTTTCATACAAATTTCAGAACTATCAAGGATAAAGGTGCCTCTAATATGAGCTAAAACATGGGGAGTTATTCTCCAATTACTGTTTTTTACTATAACCCTCCCACTGTCCTCAAGGGCGACGCCGCCAGGAAAACTGACCACTGAGCAGGGTTGATGGTTTATCCCTTGAGGTCCACGTGGCAGGGGTGAGGTGTGGGAGGGTTAAAAATGTGCGTGTGTGTGTGCATGTGGACACCTGGTCACTCAGCAGGATGTGTATGCCTGTAGGACCCTGTCTGTACACCTGGTTGATCGTTCCCAGAGGAATCCCACACACTGACGCCATCTTGCGGATGAGTTCTGCAGCTGTGAGCTCCTCTAAGTAAAGAGCGTGGTACACTGAAAATAAACAGGTAGGGGGGGTCAAATTGAAGCAGATTATAATTACAGGATGTCATCAGCAGCAGCAACAACATCCAGGACCTCACCGTGTAAACTAGCGGAGCTCCTGTGTTCTCCGTTTTCAATAGTGCAGTGTCTCTCCAGCAGGGGGCTCTCCTGAGGAGACTCCTGACAGACGTACACGGTCAACCTGGGACACGCAGACCTGCACGCGCGCACACACACACACACGTTGTGTTTTAGTTCACACACAGAAAGATGAGAGATGATTACAAACAGCTGCTTCGCGGATGGAGATGATTTAATAGAAGGCATCTCTCACCTGGATTTGAGTGCATTGAAAAGTCTGATCCCGTCTGCTGGCCCACAGATCTGGACCAGGTCGTCTCGTGTCAACTTTAACAAATCAGAACCTACAAACAAGCAGTTGGATGTAAATAAACAAGCTGCACAAGAACACCTGAGCAGAATCGGGGGCAGACGTGAAGCTAACAGGTGAGCAGCGTGCACCTGAGAAATGAGAGAAGAGTCGAGCGTAGGAGCTGAAGCGATTTTTCTGCAGCCACTTCTGCGTTTCCTGTATGGAGGCGGTGGGGCTCAGCTGCTGCAGAGAAACACAAAGATGTCAAGACGTCTTTCTCAAATCGTCATCTTGAACGAGATCTTCAAAATTATATAAATGCATTTTTGGCGCGAGACACGAAGAAGAAGAAAAGTTTTTCTAGGTCTGTCTCCCTTCAACCGACAGGTTTCATTTTAGCGCCTACGTTTTACTGAAAAGTGCACCTGACCCAACTAAAAGTAAAACTACTAAAGCAAAAAAATACGGGGATCGTAGCATTAATGCCATTTTATTTTCCTGCATCACACAACTATAAAATCCATTAAAACTATTTCAAACAGTGATTGCAGCTCAAAGCGCTCTACGGGATTAAAAGTGACACCATGTGAGTTTTGGGATAATTTTCTTCCTCCTAAACCAGGGGTGCCCAATGCTGGTCCTGGAGAGCCGGTGTCGGTGCAAGATTGGCCCGGGGTCCTTCGACTACTGATGACGTCTAAGTAGTTGATTGGCTGAACATGAACCTTACGGAAATTACATAATGACGTTACGTTGGTCCAGGCAAATTTTTCTGTTGGAAATTTTCTTTGAAAATACACTTTTAGCATAGAGCTGCATGTATATTAGGGCTGAACGATTAACTGCATGTGCAATTAAATTGCGATGTGACAAAAGGAGATTTTCCAATCGCAAAGGCTGCAATTTGGCAGCGAGTGGTTAGCGCAATGCTAACATACATGGAAAAACCCATAGGAATGCTAATGCTAATATCACCGATTACATTCTTACAAATTATGAATTAGAAACGTGCCAAATGATTACATTTGGAGTCTAATACAAAGTAAAACTACCATCAATCAAATAAGTACAGACAGGTATTTTAGTAAAGCCAGAAAACTTTTAACTCCAGAGTTTTGGCTAGCAGCTATGAGCGTAACTGAACTACGCATGGACAAGACGTCAAAAACTCTAAACACAAAATACTTCAATAAACGGGACACACTTCTTTCCTGCAAATACAATTTCACAGGTGTTGCTAGTACCTATGATCCTTCAAGGGATGTGCTCAAAGAGGAGTTCAACATTATGAATACAATATAGTGTTTTATTTTACAAATACCATTATAAACACAAACTTACGTCGTAAGAAACATTATTTTAATGTAAGAAACATTATTTTAATAACGAAGCTGCTAAATTCTTTCCAACAGTATAAAGATATGTAGTGTATTTTGTCCGAGTGGGCTTGCCGTACTTAGACGTCATCGGCAGTCGAAAGACCCCGAGCCGACCTTGCACCCGAGCAGATCCTGTACCGACACCGGTATCCTACAGGTTTCAGTTTTAACCCTGCATCAACACACCTGACTTTAATCAGCAGGTGATTAACAGGTTTCTGCAGAGCCTGATGATCTGCTGCACATGCTGATCCAGCCACCGAATCAAGTGTGTTGGAGCAGAGAAACCACAACACCTGCTGGATACCGGCCCTCCAGGACAAGGACTGGGCACCCCTGTCCTACACACAGAAAAACTACAAATGCCCTAAAAACCCTGAATAACTCATTAAATCTTGAACCAGCAAGCAAAATTCAGCCTGATGATTAAAATCTAAATAAACGGTTCTTTTGACAATAAGTGCGTCGTACTAACCTCTGGGTTGCCATGGCCACCAGGATCCGTCTGGTGATTGGGAGAGGAGTCGTCACTGGAAAAACAAACAATTAAAAGTTGAGAAATATATAAAATATTCTCCAATGTAAGCTAAAGGGAGTACCTGTCCAGTATGGAGGAGGTTGTGTAGGTGGACAGCGGGGTGGAGGCAAAGGAAAGGGTAGCTGCCTGGTTGCTGCTGGTGTAGGCGGCGTCTGGCCACGGCGAGCACTGAGGTAAAAACATACAAATATTTATAAATACTCTAATTCGAACCACAAAAATGACTTCAACTACTAACAAACGAGTTAATAGCGTCTCCACCGCCACTAATGACAGAAATTCACAACCGAAGGGGGCTAACAAAGATGGCTGTTTAGGGAAGAGGAGGATGCTTACACTGCCTCGCTTGGCCAAGGAGTCGCCACAGTCGGCGGGAAGAGTCCGCTTGCTGGACTTTTTCAGCTCATGGTCGCCCGAATCCTCTATGATGGGTTCAAGCCTCGTCTGCGTACAGACAAAGCAGGGGTTAGCATAGCCACAGCTAGCACACCAAACCAGGTGTGGTTACCAGCAGAGGGCGCTAGACAGCTCCACTCATCCTAGCTTCCACTTTCGTCTACTGGTGGTTTTAAAACGTTAACCTCAAACAAACAAACGAGAGAGCTTTGCATCAGCGACCACATTTTTTAATTATTTCATGTTCCTGAAGGATTTTAGTTATTTCCTGCTCCACCGCACCAGATTCAATGATTAAATCACCTGTTCAGGAGGGCTCCTGTTAATCACCTGTTGATTAAACTCAGGTGTTAAGAGACACAAACGCATACTCACACTAAAGGCTCATTTACGAGCTCCATTCAACCAAGCATGTATGTTTGGGTCCAGATGCGGTTGAACAGGTGTGTTAAAGCAGAGAAATTACTCAACTCTGCCTCAACACACCTGGTTTTACTCATATGCACAAAGAGGACAGCATAATATATAATTATACTCAATAATAGTGACACCAGGAGTAACCTCAGCTGCAGCAAGTCCAGATTAAAATATGCTAAAGCATAAATCCAATTAGAACTCCATTTTAAAAGATTAAACCCCACATCTATTAGTAGTTGAGCCACTAAAAAGAAGACTGGAATCTGTTCCCTTAGAGCTCTGCGGATAATCCGCGCTCCCTCATCGACCAGATCCTCAATGAACGGGAATGCCATGGTTATTCTGGAAGGAGCCTTCGATTGTCTTCTTGTTATTTTAAACTTCAGAGCAACAGGAAATCAGCTGCATGTGAGCTGTAATAATCACACGTCAGAGTGTGAGCTTAGCTCGCTTCGTGCAACAGCCCTCAGGGGAACACACCCTTACAGGGAAAGGAAAATACACCAATAAACGCATTCAACTAATTTCAAATGTAAACTAACCGTAATTTACCAACAGCATTAATACGGCTGCCACACAAGCTGAAGTAAAGATGAACAGGACAATAACCAAATCCTCCCTCTCTCTCTCTCTCTCTCTCTTGTCCCAAGGTAGTCACACCCACTGCTACCTGCACCGTGCTGCCCCCTAGTGTGCAAAACTAACAACAAAATAAAGCACGCAATAATCTCTGAGGAACTTCTGACGCACGTAGACGTCTATGGAAGAAACCCAAGAGATGCTAAAGATGTCCTGATCAAACGCATCGTTAATTTAGAGTCTAGACCGCTTTTCCTCCTAAAAATCGATCAGTGCGACCATCAGGATCTCTGGAAGCTCTGACCAAAAATAATATGAATTTGCTTCTGAAATATTTTGTCATAAACGTGGTGCCATTGAGATTGAAAACGTGTCGTCATTTCTGGCTTCAAACCGCAAAGGATTGTAGGTATGAGGGACAAGCCCCCCCCCCCCCCCCCCCCCCCCAAAAAAAACCACTCTGAGCACGCTCATTCCATTCTATTTGTTTTCCGGACAGTTGTCCCCAAACATGCTCAGAGCTTGTTGAGTTGTTGATTGCCATACGAGGTCGCATGACCACCAGGGAAGGCTAATAGCCAAAGGTGCACATTTTTTTCGGATTCCTGCGTGGAAGAGAGGTTGTTCCAGCGGTGTCTGAAGCTACAAAGAGGAAACGGATGGCGTGGATTGCTGCCATCAGAAGACCTAACTTAACGTTGGAGGACACCCCAGGTCACATGTTACATTAGCTTTGCGGGCTGCTATTTGTGTCGTATGCAGGCAAACCGGCCTACAGCATGCTGGAACGCGATCCGGACTGGGCTCCGTCCCTCCACATGGGTCACACCGAGGTGAAAGCGACGACCACCGCCAGATTTGACCGGTTTAGACGGAGAGCCAGATCAAAACAACAGCCTGTTGTTCCACGTCCGTCGGAGCCAGTGATGGATGATCCATCGTACCTTTCTCTAGATTACGCGTCGAGCCTGTCTTTGTACGGACCGGGAGCAGTCTCCTTCGTTTTATACATCCTTGTGAATTAAGAGAGGTTAAATTCCTTTGCTAGCTTACACGTCAGAAGGACTGTTTAGAGATGTAAACACCGAGCCGAACAGAGAAAAACTGTCTTCTGGGTTTTTAAATCTCCCTCCGTCCTCAATTCCAACAATGCACCGCGCGTAAGTCACGTGGTCTGTCAATCTCAGTTTGATCAGAAATCCTAAAGAAAGTCCTTTTCAGAAATTAATTTGTATTTTACAAACAACCAAATCTCTAAATTAACTTCTTTTGATGCAGATGTTGCACACATGTATAATAAACGTTTATTGATGCGATCTGAAAGCAATTCCAGGATTTCATGGGGTTTTTTTCCTGTGCCAACATTCCCTTTGTTGTTTAGATTATTAATCTGGGCCAGCTCACCTGACCGAACGAGAAAAACTTAACTTATAAAACAAATGAAGCTTTGAGGAACTAAATTACATCAGCAGCAACGCCTATTCTGGCATCTTTGTAAGGCAACTTCTACAGATAGATAAATAAATAAATAAACTGATTTTGGATGATAAAATATTCAGAAATAAACCTTTAATATTCTACAGCTACAAACAAATGGTTGCCCAGGTGATTTGTGAATTTTAGCCAAAACAAGAGAGGTCCTGGTGTTTAAATCTGCTTAAAAAAGGACTTCTGTTGGTTTAATAGATTTTTGACCTTTTTTGGGTTTTGAAACATTTTATTAGTAATTAAAACATCACAGAAGGAAGGTTTAGTTTAGCCTGTGGAGAAAACAGAGCGTCTCTAGACCACATCAAAAGCGCTTGTCAAACATGAAGGAAGCAAATTAAAGGGTCATGTGACGACGTGGCTTCGTGGAAGGTGTGTACGTCTAAAAGGTGATGCGATTTTCAGCGCTCACACCGGAGCATCTCAGCTTCCTGCTCTGACATGTAACTTCGATGGACGTTTCTGTAAAAGCTGAACTCAGACCCTGCTGTGATATTTTTACCCAGAATGCACGTCTGCACCAGGACAGGCCTGAGCAAACACATACTGACCTCTGAGAGGATAGTGGTATCATAAGAAGGCTGGTACTTTTCCTTCTCTTGAGGGGTGCGCTTCTCCATCTTTTCCCTGTCTGTTTTCTGTTTACGGTCCGCCCCCTTTGGCTAAACAGGAAGTAAACAAGTATAAACCACAAACCGAGACATGGGTGTAGTCATGGCGGATCAGCAAGTCAATCATTCTCTCTGTGAGGGCGTGAGTGTGTACTTTGAAGACTTTGATTTGGCAGGAGGCAGAGTGGAGGTGTTCCGTGTAGTCCCCGCCGTCCCCCAGGGCAAACGTGTCGATCTGGATCCTGAAGGGGACGCCCTTCTCCCCTCCGTGCTTCCTGGGAGTGAATTCTGTGCTGATGCAGTGCACCTGAGACGAGAGAACAAGTCGTCAAAGCGGGTTTGGTGTGGGGAGAAAAAAAGCAGCAATCACGGCAGGCTGGCGCGTTTATACCTGCACAAAAACAGAAGTTCTTTTGTTCATGTCCCACAGAAACTCTGCAGCGTTGAGCTGGGAGGGGTGAGTCTTCGGCTCCACGATGCCCACCGACATCGGGATGTCTGTAGTAGACACGCATTGGTGTCAGGCTGCAGGACGTGCACGAGCAAGCACGCACACGCACACACACACACAGCACAGCAGAGGCAAACATTTCTTACCAATGTCAAGGAGACGGTCGCCAGGACGATTCCACTTCCAGCCCTCTAGCTGCTGGTGTTCTGTGTACTGCAGCCGACGGTCGTGAAAAACTACACGCACCGTGCTCTAAGGACACACACACACACACACACATGTCATAATGAGGATCATTAAAGTCAATGGCAACAGATTTCTAGTTTTAAAGGTCCTATATCTTGCAAAATCCACTTTTTGGAGCTTTTGACCAAATTATATTGTTATTTCCTCATGACCCCCCTCCCCCCACCCAGCTGCAAGTTGTGTGCTGTCTGTCAAGCACCTGCACAAGCCTGGGGTCTGGGCTACTTCACAAAAGCCTACCCCTCCCCTGGACAGTAAACACTAATGCATCGTCTCTCAGAGAAGCTAGCAGGGAGTTCATTCTGCACTTTAAACCTAAAGATGGATTTCTGTCTGACGGAAGAACACGATCCCTGTCCAGTCTCCCTGAAACGGGCAGAAATGGTTGGATTTATTCTTTCGGAGTCCTCAAAAACCGAGCCAGAACGTGATTGTGACTTCACAGGCTGCTTGTTAAACCACCAACAGTACCGAAGTGGGTTTTCAGACAAATTACCTCTTCAAACTGACACCATTCCAAAGTCAGAACCACCAAATAGACCAGGGCAGTGCGTTCAACAATGCTAACCGTTAGCTCAGTGGTTATAATGTTTGGTGGGTGAGCGTCAGGCATGGACCGAGACATTAATTGAGGAATCTGCTACTATCTCAGCCACCTTTTCTAAGTTTGAGTGGTGTGTGCGTGTGTGTGTGTGTGTGCGTGCGTGCGTGCTAGCGGCTCGACCCACTGATTGAGATTTCTCGGGGGAGGATCTGCAGTCTCTGTGTCTGCAGCTGTGTACTATTATGGACAATCATTCAGTGTATCTTGGCTTGGACAATCCTCTACCGTGCACCATCTTGCCACAGGAGTCCCCCAGGGCTCTGTACTAGGACCTCTTCTCTTTGTCATATACACCACGTCACTGGGTGAGATCATTCAATCACATGGCTTCTCCTACCACTGCTATGCAGACGACACCCAGCTCTATATGTCATTTCCACCGGACGACCACATTGTCTCTGCACGAATATCAAACTGTCTCTCTGACATGTCAAAATGGATGAAATCCCACCATCTCCAACTCAGGCTCTCTAAAACTGAACTACTTGTCATCCCAGCAAAACCATCCATACAGCACAATACAGTGGGGCAAAAAAGTATTTAGTCAGCCACCGATTGTGCAAGTTCTCCCACTTAAAATGATGACAGAGGTCAGTCATTTTCATCATAGGTACACTTCAACTGTGAGAGACAGAATGTGAAAAAAATCCATGAATTCACATGGCAGCATTTTTAAAGAATTTATTTGTAAATCAGGGTGGAAAATAAGTATTTGGTCAATAACAAAAATTCAACTCAGTACGTTGTAACATAACCTTTGTTGGCAATAACAGAGGTCAAACGATTACTATAGGTCTTTACCAGGTTTGCACACACAGTAGCTGGTATTTTGGCCCATTCCTCCATGCAGATCTTCTCGAGAGCAGTGGTGTTTTGGGGCTGTCGCCGAGCAACACGGACTTTCAACTCCCTCCACAGATTTTCTATGGGGTTGAGGTCCGGAGGCTGGCTAGGCCACTCCAGGACTTTCAAATGCTTCATACGGAGCCACTCCTTTGTTGCCCGGGTGGTGTGTTTGGGAATCATTGTCATGTTGGAAGACCCATCCACGTTTCATCTTCAAACCTTTCACTGATGGAAGGAGGTTTTGGCTCAGAATCTCACGATACATGGCCCCATTCATTCTGTCCTTAACACGGATCAGTCGTCCTGTCCCCTTAGCAGAAAAACAGCCCCAAAGCATGATGTTCCCACCCCCATGCTTCACAGTAGGTATGGTGTTCTCGGGATGCAACTCAGTATTCTTCTTCCTCCAAACACGACGAGTTGAGTTTATACCAAAAAGTTCTACTTTGGTTCCATCTGACCACATGACATTCTCCCAATCCTCTGCTGAATCATCCATGTGCTCTCTGGCAAACTTCAGACGGGCCTGGACATGCACTGGCTTCAGCAGCGGAACACGTCTGGCACTGCAGGATTTGATTCCCTGCCGTTGTAGTGTGTTACTGATGGTGACCTTTGTTACTGTGGTCCCAGCTCTCCGCAGGTCATTCACCAGGTCCCCCCCATGTGGTTCTGGGATTCTTGCTCACCGTTCTCATGATCATTTTGACCCCACGGGATGAGATCTTGCGTGGAGCCCCAGATCGAGGGAGAGTATCAGTGGTCTTGTATGTCTTCCATTTTCTGATAATTGCTCCCACAGTTGATTTTTTCACACCAAGCTGCTTGCCTATTGTAGATTCACTCTTCCCAGTCTGGTGCAGGTCTACAATTATTTTCCTGGTGTCCTTCGAAAGCTCTTTGGTCTTGGCCATAGTGGAGTTTGGAGTCTGGCTGTTTGAGGCTGTGGACAGGTGTCTTTTATACAGATAATGAGTTCAAACAGGTGCCATTAATACAGGTAACGAGTGGAGGACAGAAAAGCTTCTTAAAGAAGACATTACAGGTCTGTGAGAGCCAGAGATTTTCCTTGTTTGAAGTGACCAAATACTTAATTTCCACCCTGATTTACAAATAAATTCTTTAAAAATCCTGCCATGTGAATTCATGGATTTTTTTTTCACATTCTGTCTCTCACAGTTGAAGTGTACCTATGATGTAAATTACTGACCTCTGTCATCATTTTAAGTGGGAGAACTTGCACAATCGGTGGCTGACTAAATACTTTTTTGCTCCACCGTATCTCAATCCAAAATGACTTCCTATCTCTGGCTCCTTCAAAGGCAGTTCGAAATCTGGGTGTTGCGATTGATGAACACCTGACCTTTAAAGATCATGTTGCCTCTGTTGCTCGTTCATGCCGCTTTGCGCTGTATAACATACAAAAGTTCAGACCGTACCTAACACAACATGCCACCCAGCTCCTGGTGCAATCTACTGTCATCTCCCACCTCGATTACTGCAATGCCCTTCTAACTGGTCTTCCAGGCTGTACTGTGAGACCTCTTCAAATGATCCAGAACGCAGCGGCGCGTCTGGTCTTCAATCAGCCAAAAAGAGCACACGTCACCCCTCTGTTCATTGAGCTCCACTGGCTACCGCTAGCAGCACGCATCAAATTCAAATTGCTAACACTAGCATACAAAGTCCGAGATGGTACGGCTCCCATCTACCTGAATCCTCTTGCAAAGGCTTACGTCTCGGCCCGGCCGCTCCGGTCATCACAGGATCGTTGGCTAGCAGTGCCTACACCACGCTCAGGACAATCCAGGCTCTTCTCATGCATCGTTCCACAAATGTGGAATGACCTACCAAGCACTACCAGAACAGGGGCTTCCTTTTCAATTTTCAAGAAACTCCTGAAGACCCTGCTCTTCAGAGAGCATCTTCTAAACTAGCACCCTCCCTGCACCCGTCCCCCCCTCAACCGTCCACTCCTTGTTCCGTCCTCTCCATGATTGATGTCAAGTTGTTGTTGTTATTGTTGTTGTTAGCCTCAAGGGCAACATGCCGATTATCACTTGTAAGTCGCTTTGGACAAAAGCGTCTGCTAAATACATAAACATTATGGAATTCATACGTAGGAGGCGGGGTTTTATCAAATCCAACGCTTCATTTCCAGGTTGAAGGAATGGCTCAAGAAAACAAAATAGTAGTAGTAGTGTGCCCACTGTTGCACTGGAAGGTGTAAAACATCGTAATACAGGACCTTTAAGGATTCGCTCACCTTCACCATCTTGTTCGTCAGCTCTGGTAACTCCCCTGATTTTCTGTTGTCCAACATTCGGATCTCATAAGACTGGCCTGAACGAGACAGAGGGGAGACGGAAAGAGGGATGAGGAACAGACGTGTGACGGACTCGGTGGTGTTGTTATAGAAACATTTTATGTAATCGTCAGATGTTCCCTTGAGCCACCAGAAGACAGACAGAAAATGGCTGTTTTTGTTGAAAACAACAGACTCTAATCCTGGTCGTCTCCCCCACCTATCCTGCATGTCTTCGCTGTTTATCTGCTCCAAAACACCTGATTCAAAGGTTGAATTGCCTGTTAAGCCGGGCGTACACTGTGCGACTTTTTCACTTCTTTGAGCCGATTTTCCACTCGTGCGAGAATCCACGACATCGGGGCGAGTTTTGCGCCGAGCGGTCGTGTAGTGTACACGGGGGTTACGAGAGGCGATTAACACCACGTGACCAGCTACCGATCAGCAATCGTGAGCTCGCACTGACTTCTGGCATGTTTAATATTTTGCTCGTCCCTCGTGAGGGTATCGCACTGTTGAAGCGGCGCTGCGAGCAGCTGAGACCCAAAAAGCATCAGAACCGCTCACGGCGCATGTGCAATCCTGCATCAACACCGCTCGCCCGCTATTCCCCTAATAACACACGCTGTTCGTTTTAATTTCTACACGTTTTTTTACTCACAGTGACAAAGATTGTCAAGAAAGCGTGTTTGTCGTGTTCATGTCAAATTAAACTGATCACTAAACACAGATTTACTTTCTTTATTTCGTTTTCCTCATCCAACCCCCATAAATCCCTGTGTGTCCTCCTGCAGCACTCCCGAAGGACAACAGGCAAGACAAAAAAGTCTGACGTGTAAAAACGGCTATTTTTAGCATATTTTTAGGGCCGACGTGTTGCTACCAGACGTACAGTGTGAGCACACGACTCGTGAGATCTGCCCTGCGAGGAAGTCGTACAGTTTGAGCTGAAGCTGAACGCTGCGAGTGAAAAAGTTGCACAGTGTACGCCCGGCTTTAGGTGGATCATGAGGCTGTTAATCGCCTGCTGATTAGAATATGGTGAACTGGAGCAGAGAAACATCTAAAATACGCAGGGCGGTGGAGCTCAAGGACTAGGGTTGCACACTGTTTACAACAGAGGGCCGACATATTTTTGTGAATTTTGTCGCTTCATCTTCTACATTTTCAGTCTCGGGAACCCGCGCGGCGTTTGCCTACCTTGGTTTAGGTATGTGAGCGTCTCGTCATGCAGCTTGACAGCTGGTGAAGTGGCGGCGCAGAGAACATACTGGAATGGGGGGTTTTTGGTCTTGGTTTCAGGGGGAAGGCTGGAGTCCTCCTGCTTAAAGATGGGTAGAGCCAGCACATCGCTGCAACACAGAGAGGACGGAGGTACAAACAGTCAGCGGGATCTAGAGATGAGCATCAACATTTCAATCTTTTCATTGATGAAGCCGTTTTACGTTTATGCCGAGCCGTTGACAAGTACGCTCACGGCTAATGCTGCAGGTGTGTCATGGAAGCAAAAGTCAAGTGGAGAGAGTACCCAACTCCAAGTGCATTTGGGGATGAGTGAGTAAAGAGGAATAAATGACACAAATGCAGACCGGAGCACCTCACTGTCTAAAGTTTTCTCAGCAACTAATCTTTTCCTGATTCGACAGACCTTTATTGTGGCCCTGCAGTACCATCCCCAACCCTGTCTCGGCATCCAGAAATCTGAGGAGTACATTTCACTGAACGGCATCAAGACATTTTGTCCCGAACAGCTGCTGAGTTCTAACCCTCCCTCAACCTTACCCCAGGCCTCACAGCCAGCCCCGCTCTCTGTGTCACTGATTCACTCACATGCATGCCGTGAATTCAGCACCGGCGAACTTGCTTGAACCCACAACGTGCCTATGTCACGCTCAGATAAACACACACTTAGGGGTTGCTGATAACACACACGGTTGTCCCTCCTCCTCGGAATATCATTACCTCCAACCGACTTATTTATTACAGCGCACACCTTTTAAATGAACAGGTGCATTGCAACAGACAGGAAGTGTTCATGCATCCTCCACAGACGGATCAAAAAGTGCTGAATATGCATGAGAAGCTACATCTCAGGATCTTGCTCTTTTGATGGACTTTGTGCATTTCTCACACGAAGACATTTCAGCAGTTACAACTGGCAATACAAAAGCTCGTGTTGTCATCACCATGGAGCAAGAAAAAGTTATTTCCTGTAGATTTCTACACGTGTTTGTGCCGAAGTGGGTAAAACAAAAAGACTCCAGAAATTGTCTTTACACCTGCAGCCTGATCTATGAGCTGAAAAAAGATTTTTCTTTGGGTCCATGAATGCATCATAGGAACAATAAAAAAAAATATTTTCTGCATGGAAATTTTAGTTTCTCCTAATTCGAAGTCAAGATAATTTTCGCTGTGCAAGAACTGGTGCATCACTAGTTAGATATACCACCAGCAGGTCAACAGTAAATAATCAGATCAAAGAACCAATTATTAGCTTTAGTGGTATGAATATGTTCAAATATTAGGTCTGTTGTGTCTTCTTTACTGATTTGGATTCAAGTGAGCTGAAAACTGAAAATTTCTCAAATGTATAAAACTTGATAAATCAGAACTAAAAGAACCACTCTACACGACACTTGAGCTCGTACTTTTTAGACACTTCCTTGTTGAAACTACGATTATAAATGCACTCATACTGCCACCATTATAATCTGATTTTTAACAAGGTTTGTCCTCAAAGTCCAAATGTTTTAGTCCCAGATTGTGACACCTTGCAGCGGCTGCCCCTTAACACACAAATAAGCAATTAGGAGCAAAAAAAGCAATATAATAAAGTTAGGGAGGTATTCAACAGCTTGATTCTGTATTTATTTGTTTGTTTTTTCCCTAATTGACCCAATCCTGAGCCATGATGCTGCAGCGGTTGACTCTAACCTCATGCTGTAAGCTCCAGCACCGAGCTCCTGTCCGATACCGGACAGGCTCGCATCGAAGTCGTGCACCAGCCCCGACTCGATGGCGGCATCGTCCATCTTCAGGACCCAGGCCATCGGCCCCAGGTCCTTGTCCTCGGCTTCTACCCTGAGGGCCGCCAGCTTGCTTCAGGTACGAGGAAGAAGGGCTCTGCAGCTTCTCCGCAACACTGCAGCAGGGGGAAAGTTAGGCTCCGAACAGGCTGCTTCCCCCGGAGACTGAATTCACCACCATGTTTCTACATAAAAGCCTTTCCCCTCCACTCTAGCGGCCAACTGTCCGAGAGAAACAATAAGTTAGGGCTGCCTCAGCTAGCGAACAGTCGATGCGGGCTGGTTGTCAGCATGCTAACGCTTGCTAGCAGCTAGCTTTGCGAGGGTGTTTTATATAAAGCTAACGCTAATTTGGCGGTCCCGTTGTTATCTTCGGGCAGGGTCGCCCAAACAGTCTGGTTAGCCGTTCGTTTGGTCAAACGCAACAAGCTAAGAAAAGATGCGAGGAGTTTAAAAATCGCATCCCACGCAGTGTCCGCACAGCTAACTAGCATCAACTTCAGTTGCTTTGAATCAGCTGCCCGGTGACCTAACTCTCCTCCGGCGCTCCCTGTGCCGTTCCAGTCCGGTCCTTTCCAATCATCGCGGTTCTTCAATCACCGCTGAGGCTTCCCGTCTTTTGTTCGGAGTCCATTAAACATCCAGAATGTAACGTTTGACAAAAAAACAGGCATCAACATGGCTTCCTTTACATACAGTCCGTGTAGCTTCGCTGGGTCACTACCACCACTGCCAGCCTCAGAAATGATGCCAGCCTAAAATGAGCCAATCAGAAGCCGCTATTTGTGCCCGTGCAGACGGGCTAGCCAATGAGAAGCTGCAGATCTTCCGTCATTGTGCCCAACTGTAGCTGCGCTCTGCCGCCCAGAAACTATTTATTTACTACGTAATTACTGTCAACAAACAGCCTCTAAACGTCACATGCAAACATGTTAAACACCAGAAAGGATCTCGAGTCAAAGTAAATCCACGAGCCAATATGTCGCGTGAAAGTTTATTGGTATTTTCCAACCATAAAGTTAGAGTGTCCTACCGAGTCAAGCTGCTGTCTCCGTGTCTCTGCTCGGGGACTCGGAAGTTCTCGGTGTAGGACTGCCAGAACAGCATTGGCGTGTCCGAACAGCGGTCAGCCTCTGTTGGAGACGACAACGACTCACTCCGAGGTCCAAACGGGACCGAAAACCTTTGATTCATGACATTGTTGAGCCGAAGGGGGAAATCCTTGCTCCGACCTGCCGTGTTTACCTCCCCTCTGGTAAATAATTACCCCCTAGTCCAGGGATGTGGCGCAAGTCTGGGGGTGGCTTTCGAGCTGGATTACAGGGGCTATTTTAACCCGGGGGGTTGGTGAGGGTGTGGGGACCCGAGACAGTGACAGAATTAGACGGACTTCTTATGAAATCAGACTTCAATGCAAGACAAATACATAAAAACGGACCACTTACACCTAAAAATCCCATCCAAGTATGTTTTTATTCACACTACGTGATTAATTTTTAACCAAACTCACAGAACTGCATTTGTAATAAGATTGTTTACATGTGCGCATTTTTTAAAAAAGTCAGAAATTGACGTTTCACACAAAAATTCTCCAATTATTATATATAATCTTAACCTGAATCATCCAGCAGATGATTAATAGTCACAAGATTCAAACCCAACCCTATAATTGCTTTTTGGAGGACATTTAAAGAGCAAGTCACCCCAAATCAACTTTTTTTTCTGATAAACTATAAATGCATCATGCTGCAGACACATGTAGTCAATAGTTTTGCAATTTAGTGCATTTTAGTTAAAATTTTAGTTTTGCCTAAAACTCAGTGTTGTGCCGTTGTCAGGTAAAAACTCTGCACTGCAGTTGAATTTAAATCTGCCATCGCTATTGGCTAAGAGGTACCCTAGAACGTTAGCTGTTGCCTCGCCTCTGTCAGTGCACCCCAGGGCAGCTGTGGCTACATCGTAGCTCATCACCATCAGTGTGTGAATGGATGAATGATACACTGTAGTGTAAAGCGCTTTGGAGTCCTTACTCTGAGAGACGCTATACAAGTGTGGGTCATTCATTACCATATGATGTCACAATGTCGTTGTGAGCCTGTGTGTGTGTGTGTATGTTAGCGGCTCCGCCCTCTCGGTCTGCTAGGCAACAGCATTTGTTGCATTTTTCAAACAGGAAGTGGGAGTGGAGTAAAGCCTGGTTTATGCTTCTCCGTCAGCTCTGCAAGGGACAGACACGCACGGATTGTCGTCGTCGTCGTCTTCCTCCGCTTATCCGGGTCCGGGTCGCGGGGGCAGCATCCCAACTAGGGAGCTCCAGGCCGTCCTCTCCCCGGCCATGTCCACCAGCTCCTCCGGCAGGACCCCAAGGCGTTCCCGGACCAGATTGGAGATGTAACCTCTCCAACGTGTCCTGGGTCGACCTGGGGGCCTTCTGCCGGCAGGACATGCCCGAAACACCTCCCCGGGGAGGCGTCCAGGAGGCATCCTGACCAGATGCCCAAACCACCTCAACTGGCTCCTTTCGATCCGGAGGAGCAGCGGTTCTACTCCGAGTCCCTCCCGAATGTCCGAGCTCCTCACCCTATCTCTAAGGCTGCGCCCGGCCACCCTACGGAGGAAACTCATTTCGGCCGCTTGTATCCGCGATCTCGTTCTTTCGGTCATTACCCAAAGCTCATGACCATAGGTGAGGATTGGGACGTAGATCGACCGGTAAATCGAGAGCCTGGCTTTCTGGCTCAGCTCCCTCTTCCCCACGACAGATCGGCTCAGCGTCCGCATCACTGCAGACGCCGAACCAATCCGCCTGTCGATCTCCCGATCCCTCCTACCCTCACTCGTGAACAAGACCCCGAGATACTTAAACTCCTCCACTTGAGGTAGGACCTCTCCCCCGACCCGGAGGTGGCAAGCCACCCTTTTCCGGTCGAGAACCATGGTCTCAGATTTGGAGGTGCTGATCCTCATCCCAGCCGCTTCACATTCGGCCGCGAACCTACCCAGCAAGAGCTGAAGGTCAGAGCTGGATGAAGCTAGGAGGACCACATCATCCGCAAAAAGCAGAGACGAGATTCTCCTGCCACCAAACTCGACACACTCCACACCACGGCTGCGTCTAGAAATTCTGTCCATAAAAGTGATGAACAGAACCGGTGACAAAGGGCAGCCCTGGCGGAGTCCAACCCTCACTGGGAACAGGTCCGACTTACTACCGGCTATGCGGACCAAACTCACGCTCCTCTGGTAAAGGGACTGAATGGCCCTTAACAGAAAGCCACCCACCCCATACTCCTGGAGCGTCCCCCACAGGGTGCCCCTGGGGACACGGTCATAAGCCTTCTCCAAATCCACAAAGCACATGTGGATTGGTTGGGCAAACTCCCATGCCCCCTCCATCACCCTTGCAAGGGTATAGAGCTGGTCCACGCACGGATTGACGGAAGCGTTTTGCTCTTTTACTTCTCCGTCTCTTGGAGAGCGTTGCAAAGCAATTCCCCGACAGGACAACAGAGGGCGTAGCGCTGTTCTGTGGTATCCTGTCGTGTATCGGTCCAAGATCGTGTGTTTATATTGTGTTTTTTGTGTATATAAGAGACTTTTAACACAGACATATTTGTCTCTCATTCTCCCACCACTTCATGCGCTTCCCACCTCTAAACCCACGTTTCCTGTCATTTCCGTCCACAAATAAAACGCTTGCTGCGCATTTTTTCACTCCTCCAGCCACGGGAGGATGAAACGTTCATATTTTTAGAGTTTTTTCGTGAGGCATTCTTCAAGCTTCTCCGTGTCTGTCGCTAGTTATCCTCGGCTCTTTGCAATGGCGGCGCTGTAAACAACAGCGGCGTCCTGACCAATCACAAGCTTGCGTAATCCGTCTCGTTCGACGGATGTTTAAAAAAGTGGGCTCGACTCCGTACGTACTTGCGTGCCTGCCGGAGCCCTACGCAAGGACAGATAATGGCGTTGCGTGTCTCCGCACTGACGCAGACGGAGAAGCATAAATCAGGCTTAAGAATCTGGTAGGGGGTGACTTGCTCTTTTGGGCCATTCCCATCTGTACCGGGTCGGCCCGGGCCGGGTAGCTTAGGTTGTTTACTGGGTGGCCTGGTATTTTTCCGGGCCAACCAAGGCTCATTCTCAGCCCTCTTCTCGAGGGGGTCTGCTTCAGGCCGACCAGGGCCAACACACCCACTGCTGACAGCAAATTCACACCTTCCATTAGAGCAAGCCTCCTATTGGTGGGTAGAATCAGCCCACATGGGCTTAAGACAAGGATGTGTGGAATCAACCGGGCCAGGCTGGGGCCGACTGGGGTTACCCGGCCCGGGCCGACCGGGGTTACCCGGCCCGGGCCGACCCGGTACAGATGGGAACGGCCCATTTGACGACTTTAGTCGTCAATGGCAGTGAATGAGTTAAAGAGCAAGTCACCCCCTACCAGATTCTTAATCCACTCCCACGTCCTGTTTGAAAAAATGCAACAAATGCTGTTGCCTAGCAGACCGAGAGGGCGGAGCCGCTAACTAACACACACACACACAGGCTCACAATGACATTGTGACATCATAATGTACCAGCTAATTTCATAGTGTACCTCTTGGCCAATAGGGGTGGCAGATTTAGATTCAAATGCAGTGCAGAGTTTTTACCTGACAACGGCACAACAATGACAGTTTTAGGCAGAATATTTACATTTTAACTAAAAAGCACTGAAGTGCCAAATTATTGACGACACATGTCTGCAGCACTCATTCATATAGTTAATCAGCAAAAAGTTGATTTGGGGTGACTTGCTCTTTAACTGATTTTGCAGTTTGGAGAGGCTGCCTGGGATCTGGTCTCCACTTCAGCTGCTCCTAAATGCATAAATGAATGTCAGCACAAGCATCTCAAACAGCTATATTACATAATGTATGTTCTCTTTTACAATATAGGTTCCTCAAATGCACACTGTCTACATTTTTCCTTCTGCTACTGCTGTTATTTTGCAGGAACACTAAGTTTAAGAGAAAAAAACTGAATCAGGACTTTGCAGACTTTTGTCAGCTTGGTGCTGCAAATCTTAACCGATTCCTAATATTTTAGAAAAAGAGAATTTTTGAATATCAGTTCTGTCATCTTTGAATCAAAAAGAAAATTATTTAAAAGTCCAGGTTTTCAGGCAACAGATGAATAGACTAATCATCTTTAACCAGATATGATCAATTTTCTTAAATGATAGTTCTGTGGTTGATAAACATGTTTATGTAGTTCTTTGCTCTAAATCCCTCTCACATGAAGCAATTTCAACAGTTTTATTCTCGACAGTTTCAGTACCTTCCAGTATGAGCCGTTTTAGGGCTCTGTCTCTTTAACTCATTCACTGCCAGCCGTTTCCTGATCACTAACGGCCTTTGCTGCCAGCGTTTCTCACCGTTTTTACTGTTTTTTAAGAGTCACAGAACGTTGCGTGCTAGCATGATGTCGATGCCAAAACAACCTAAACAAAGAGGAGACTCACCTCTTACATCAGGAAGAAGCCGCGTGTTTCGAGCGTTATCCGTACTTTCATAATCCGTTGTCGAATTGTGATCGGCAGACGCTTTTCCGGTTCGCGCCTCACTTTTTTTACAGGAACGGCCCAAAACGATCTCCAAACACATGGATGTGTTGCTTCCTGATCATGTGATCTGTGACGTATGCGGATGAAGATCGGCTTCAGAGCTGAGATGTTTGTTCTCTCAGCGCGAGGACTCGTTCCGATGCTCAAACAGTAAAAAAATGCAAATGACGACTTTAGTCGTCAATGGCAGTGAATAAGTTAAGAAAACAAGCTGCTTCTAGCCACGCCCACCTGTCCCTTGATTGGCTGCTATAAGCTAAAACGCTCCAATATCTGGAAGGAGCTCCAGCACCGGCTCTCTTGCACATAGAATATAGTTCTCATCTGCTTTCCCCATCACAAATCAGGAGTTTTGATATGGATCATTTTAGGCACATAATTCCTAAAACCCAAAACCGACAGAAAATGGATGGACAGGGTTTTTCATGTTCGAACTGTTTATAGAGGCAGTAGAGATCCACAGGGCAGCAAAAAGGACGCAAAAGGTGAGTTTTTTCTTAATAGGTCCCGGTTTTAAAAAAAATATTCAGAAATCTCACCACATCTCATGATCTGTACAAGTTCTTTATTTCATTGTAAGCACAGCTTTATAAATGCACGGAGAAAACTAGAATGTTACAAGGAGGAGGGAAAAACAGACAATGAACCGGACGAGAGGAAAAGAGAGGACATGGCCTTTTGTTTTCCAGCGCTGTAAATAATACATTTCTGCAAACATCTCAGCAGAGGAAGCAAAGAAAAACGTGTGTGAGAGCGAGGGAGTAAGACTACGACAGGGAGAGAAAAAAAAAGAAGATGGGCAAAGGTGCGCGCGCGTCCCCCCCCCCCCCCCCCCCCCCCCCCCCCCGGGACACTCCTAAAGGACACTGTTACGGGATGCTTCCATTTTAATATCATATATAGGTACAAATCCACTGTGTGACAATCAGCCATGTTCTGTTTTACTTCATGTAGTAAAGCAGCACACGCCCATCGCGCCGCAGGAGGCTGATGGAACATGAGCGTAGAGAAATGGTGGATTTAACTGAAAGGGGTGGACGTAGTTCACATTAATTTAAAACCCCAGCCACACTAGTTTAACTCTCAACAGGACCCTAAATAAAACATTTTTTCACATGTTGTCTCATGCATAGCCAAGCACAAACGCCAGATTTTGTTTGTATCGTTGCGACCCGCGTCCGCGCTGTGCAGAATCGGTTGGTCGTACCTTTTAGGCTCGTCAGCACCTTCCTGAAAACCAGAATGTGTCTTGATGCGTGAGCGGACGAGAGAGGGAGCTCGTAGCGACTCCGGTAAAACCTCGCTGCACAAAAATAAACCCAAACTGTGACACGACGTAAACTTACATTCTTGTCCACCTGGCCCTGTTCAGGAGGGGAAACGGGAAGCGGCACAGTTCGTTGGTTGCAATGTTTGATGGATTCCGAACCTTGGAAAACTGAGAACCATGCAAAAGCATCGATGCTCTTAGACGGGACGGACATGTCTTCAACTTCACCCCTGGAGGGATCGATGACAAATCCAGGTGGAACATAAAAGTGGATGTTTGCAGCTGTTTTGTTTAATTAATCCAGGTTAAGTTCAGTCTGAGACTACGGAGTGGATGCTCCATGATGTTGGAGAGAACTACAACGTTCCTCTCCTCTGCACCAGAACTCCCATCTTGCAGCGAAGCGGGAAACACGAGCAGTGTGTGCGTACGCACCGTGTCTGTTGCGGATGTAAGCGGTTTTCTCCCGTAAGTCTGGATCTACGTTTCGGGTGTGGTCTCGTGAGCCGATGTTTTTGCATTCGCCGGGCACAGTTGCGGTTCTGTGGTGGTTCTGTTGGGGCGTGCGTGACCTCTAAAGACCCTCCGACGAGGGCTCGCCACCGCTGGAGCCCGACTGGGCGCGCTTGATGTACAGGTTCAACAGCTTCAGCTGCAAACGGAAAAGAAAAGCATCAGATAGTTTCCAGTTACTGCATTTCACTTAAGCAGACGTGCATCAAGGCGCTTTAGGGGCAGAGCTGAAGCACAGCAGAGGGGGACAGGATGAAAAAAGCAACATGAGTAACTGGAAAGTGGAACACACCGTTCCGCTGAAGCCAAAATAAAACTCATCAGAACCAGTGGCCATCTCCTGATTCAAATCTGGACCCAACCACAACAGATACACCGACATTTTCATCGTTACAACCTCACGTCTCTGAAATCTCTTCACCGTCTCACATTTATACATATATATTAAAATATGAGTTTTCTAAAATCTCCGCTTTGCAAAACAGCAAAAAATAATAAATCTTAAATGAAGAACGAAACATTCGTTTAGCTGAAGACCGGTGATGCACAAGGTCTAAAACCCGCGTTAGGGGCTCGACACACGGGAGGCGACAAACGACCGCGATCAGCGAAATTTGTCGCTGTCGCTTTTATGACCTGACACACGGGAGGCGATCTGCGGCAAAGCCGTCTACGCGTTCTGTTCCATGGCGAAATCGAAACTTCCGTTGTTTTGTTTGGCTGTGTCAGGTTGGAGGGAATTAAGGTTATTTAAGCGGTTCAGAGTTAATAAAGCGGTAGATATGATGTTTCACAAGGTGCTGCTAGAGTTATGTGAAATCTTACTTCTGATTTTACTATAAAACATAATAATAATAAACTTCTCCTCCATGTTTGCTCGGAGGTGTACGGAGCATCCTGTCCGCTCATTGGTCAGTGAATGAAACCTCCGGTGATTGGTCCTCGTCCGAGCGACAGCGATGAAAAGTTGAAAATGTTTCAACTTTCTGGGATTGCGTCGCTGGGTCGCCTGTGCACGACACGTGCACGAGTGCAAACTTTCACACGCACGTTTTTCGCGTTTCGCTTGGTAGGAGAGAGACCCGCGATTATCGCTTTGTCGCGCATGTCTCATTGAAAATGAATGGAGGAGAGGCGATGTCGCCTCCCGTGTGTCGAGCCCATTAAGATGTAAACCTCCTGCGTTTACAGACAGATCTCAGATCAGCTCACCTTGCTACTGGAGAGTTGGCTGAGGTGCGGTTTGAGTTCCTCTCCTATCACGGCGTAGAGCGCCACCAGGCAGAACACGCAGGCTTTCCTCACGCTGCTCTCCGAGTTATCGTAACCCTGCGGAACCACAAACACACCATCACCACAGAGGCCTTCAGCTGGTCGAGCAGATGTTTGTAGATCTGTTGTTTTTAGGAGGCTGTATTTGGAGCGGGCACGCGGTCCGTGTCACCTGAATGAGTCCCGGTACGATTTCAGGCAGCATGCTGATCAGACCCTCGCGGGGAATCCTCTCCACCACCTTCGTCTGCATCTTGATAGCAGCCAAGTTGATTGGGTAATCAGCTGACTGAATAATGGGACACAACACTTTGATACACTGCTCTGGACTGATGGACAACGCCAGCATGGCCGCCGTCTCCTCCGCTGCACGTACCACCTTCAGACACACGCACACACAGTGAAAATTAAGCTCGCCTCTTCCGTGCGAGTCTGGGGTGAAGCTCCTTCATGTGTTGGTGGAGTTACCTCTTTGTGAGGATCTTTGTGAGCCTCCAGGGCCTTCATGATGGTGAGCTCTGCATAGTTCTTGAACCTCCAAGGCTGCTTACCAAGAATCTCCCTCAGCACCCGCAGAGCCAGTGTTCGGATCACATGCTGCGAGAGCGAAAAGGATTAGGCACCAAAGGATTTTAGCGCCGAAAAATCAGCTGATACCACCTCACGGCGAGCATGTGTACCTCTCTGTCGCCCATGGTCTCCAGCAGAAGCAGCAGGATGGTCTTGAAGTGTTCGTCCCACACCTGCAGGGTGTTTTCACGGATCAGCTTCAGCAGCTCGTACAACGCCGCCTTCCTTTCCTCCACGCGCTCGTTGTGGTTGGACAACTCTTTGAGCAGCTCGGCCACCAGCTCCGACTGGTCCAGGCCGCTGTCGTCGGCGAGCAGCTCGGAGTCGTCCAGGCTGGCGTCTTTGCGGCCGTGTTTGAAGGGGGAGTCGGAGAAGTGCTCGCGGGCTAACCGGGGGCTGGAGGAGAGCAGGGGGGTGTTGAGGAGGGAGGTCTTGTTGTCTAGAGCCATGCGGCCACCGTCCATCACATCTCTCTCTGTCCCGCTGCCACCCTGAGAAAACAAGTCTTTGCTTAAAAACACTCAGATGCTTCATAGACGCTCCTGATGCGTTGACTCCAAAAGGCTCTTTACAAGTGCGGGTCATTTATCATATAACACAAGAACTAGATCATGCAATATCACATTTTTGGAGCTTTTGACCTTGTAATATTGTTATTTCTTCATAAAAACACCCCAAAAGTGTTTGTTGGCTTCACTTTTGAACCCTGCTAACCCCGGGTTTCCACGGGAGCCGTCAGCAGCACGTTACTGCAGCAGCACGTCTTGCTCGCGTAAGCTGCTGCTTGGCCCTTCCCACGAGACGCGAAGCAGCAGGGGAGCAGCTGTCACCGACCGAGCACGAAGTCACACGAGTGACTTCGACAGTAAACACAACAACAAGCAGGAGAAAACTACAACATGGCTTGTGTTTTATGTTCTGTCCGTTTTATAATCGCCAATACGGACCTGAAAAACAAACGAGACCGCTAGCTAGGTGATAACTTCTCACGAGGCCGCACAGTTAGTAACCTTTTTTAAAAGTAAAGCAACCGGAAGGCAGTACGTTCTTTATTCTGGAACTCTCGGGAGCTTCTCTCCATTTCCGCGTCCGATTTCCTGTCTTTCCTTCCCCAAAAATGTCGAACTTGACCCGTTTCAGAGGCGTCGCGCGTAGGAAATAGAACCGGCGCGTAAAGGCCGCGACATGCTGCACCTGAGACGCGGCCGACTCGCGCTGCTGACGGCTCCCGTGGAAAGCAGGGGTCACTCAGCTGTTGATTCAACCAGCTACTGCAAACAGCTGGGCGGGTCATGTTTGTGTCATCCTGTCCTGCTCCTCCCCATCCAGGAAGTGCCTAACCTGCATGCTCCTCCTCTGGACTGTAAACATTAACGTCCACTCTTTCCAAGTAGCGAGCAGGGAATTTACTCTTCCTTGTGGTGAGGAAATAATTCTTTATTATCTGCCTGAACATTTGACAATGCCTAGAACCCAAAAATGGATTTTTGTCTGCGAGAGGGACAGGATTCATGTTCAGCTTTTCCTAAAGAAGGGTTTAAATCACCAGAAATGGTTAGATTTCATCTCTGGAGGCTATCAAAGACCAACCAGAATGTGGCTGAGATTTCACAGACTGCTTGTACAGAGTGGGTTTTTAGATAAATTGCTTCGTCAAATCGGCGCCATTACAACATCTGGTGAAGAGGCCAGAATGGCGAGTAAAACCAAAAATGCTAACCGCTAGCTGGATGGTGACTGCTGCTTCCCTCTTCGTGGTCAATTGACGGTTTGATGGAGATCTAGGGTTATACGTCATAAATTGGGTGGAATTCACACGCGTGGAGGGGGGTGATGGGAGCCGCGGTCAGGTGAGGCAAGTTTGTTCCATTTAACCATTTTCTTTGACCAAGGAAGGACAGTGTCCTCATAGCTAGGCGCTTTTACATAGAGAAACACCCCACGTCTCTCGGCTGGCCAGGGAACACCTTGGGATTCCCCCGGAGGAGCTGGCCCAAGTAGCTAGGGAGAGGGAAGTCTGGGCCTCTCTGCTCGGGCTGCTGCCCCACGACCCGACCCCGGATGAGCTGAGGAAAACAGATGGATGGAGGCGGGATTTCATGGAATCCAAACGTCTTTTTTCCAGTTGAAAAACGTGCCAACGGTGATATTTTAATCATTAATTCTAGTGGTGTGAATCTTCACTTGTCTCCCGATTCGTTAACGATTATTGGGTCAACGATTCAATTCGATTCGACATCCCGATGCATCACGATTATTTCATATTGATTTGTTTTCATCGATAAATAGAAGATGTCAGATAATTGCTTTTTATTTGTTTTAATCAAAAATGTAATTGACACAACCTGCCAGCCCTCAAAAGCCCTCCATCCACAACAGGTTAGGACAAAACATTTTAAACATTTAAGAAGATTTAACAAAGTAAAACATCTGTTTCCTCGTTCAACACCACGCTTCAGGCTGAGAAAAACACGCTTTGCAAAAACTCACAAAATCTAAAAAAATACTGAAAACCTACAGGACACATAATGTAATAATAAAATCCATAATGAGTGTTTAATGTCTCTGAGCAGCTCTAGAGTCAGATGTTTATTCCACAGTTGAAGGGCGTCAGAAATAACACCAAATGAAATGTTTGACTTAGTTTATTTTATTTGAACCCAGTAGTTCATTTCTGAAATGTTGGAGAATGAATCAAGTTCTGTTTGATGCAGAAAACAATAAAACATAAAACAAATTCTACACTTCCAATAATATTTAAGATGTGTGTTTTATTCTTTCTGATAATAACACCAGCAGAAGGCTGTGGGCTGGATTAGGATTAAATTACCCAGCTGATGGATCTCCCTCACTAACCAGCTAACTACAAACCTTTCCACTAACCTGTCCCGTGGGACCCTCACCATGTGACCCTCATGTCCATGTGACCCTCATGTCCATGTGACCCTCATGTCCATGTGACCCTCATGTCCATGTGACCCTCATGTCCATGTGACCCTCATGTCCATGTGACCCTCATGTCCATGTGACCCTCATGTCCATGCTGTCTCTGGAGGAGCAGATAGGAGACAAGACCTCCTGTAACCTAAAATGAACCAAAGCTTCCTCCCAGTTTCTCTTTAAGCTGAATTTAACATCAGTTTATCATCATGAAACAAAAGAATAAAGTGGAACAAGAACTTCTATCTTCTATTTCTCTCTCCTTTTAACTTCTCCGTGTCCCTAAATAAAAGAGACAGACGATCACGCTGCAGCCGCCGTCACTGACCCCGCCCCCTCCCCAAGACCGGACCTCCCTACATTACAACAAGCAGTCTGACTGAGCGCTTCCAGGAGGAACAATAATGAACTGATGAAAATGATAACGCGTGTTTGGAGGAGCGTCCACCGATCCTCTCTCTTGTGTGAGCAGACAGTTTCTCTCTCTCTCAGTCGCTGATCGAGCGAGGGGTAGCGCGCCGCACGACAACCCGCTCAGTTTACATAATTCACGGCCCAAATCCAAAAGAACTGGTCGGGCTGATTTGGTTCCGGTTTGGTCTCAGGTTATAACTCAAGCGCTCAGCCCTGCAGTACCACATTAAGGCGGAACCACTTGGTAAATGTGGAGGACGCTCACTCTGACAGATTTGGATGGTGCGCTGGTGCCGCCGTTAAACAAAACTACATCCCACTATAATCGATTATGGCGTACTCTTCTACGATGCAGAATCGTTTATGTCCGCATCCCGATGCATCGATTATTTGATTATTTTCCTCAGCTCTAATTTATTCCTACTCTGAAAGGAGCAAAAAAAAGCCTGATACAGATCCTTTAAACTGCATCTTCACCACCACATCATCTTCAAACCGAAGCTCGAGCTAGAAACCACTTCTGGTCATCTCGGTCCATGTATGATACAGAGGTCCATTTGAGCCTCAAGTTCAGAACTTTGAGCAATTAAGCCAATAAAAAAAAAAAAACAGGAGGAGGACTAAGAGGAACCGGACCCTAGTTTCCTTTTTCAGTCCCACCGGCACATTTAGGATGGAGTTACTTTTGTCAACAACATGTTCTCTAGATGTGCTAAAAACAACCCGGTGACTTAGTGAAGGTCGACACACGACCCCTCCCACTCCTTCTCTTGGATGATGAGCGAAACGAGGTGACTGAGTGTAAGGTGGCTCGGTGAGACTGTGCGTTTACACTCCAAGCGCTAAAAGCTACTATCTGTGAGCCGTTTGACGAGTCAGGGGTGCTGATGACACGTGGGCTGGTTGGATTTCAGCTGCAGCTCATGGGGGAAATGTCAGGAGGTCACAACTCAGTCCTAGAGAACACCATGGCCTTAGGGGGGGTGCAATAAGACCAGGCGTCACGTCTGGAGTCATAAATTTACATGGAGCGAGCACTCAAACCAGACAAGCTTTCTACTCAACATGATAAATATGGCTTTAAAGGCGTCTCAGTTCTCACGATGAAAGTGGAGCGGCGGGGGCGATCGCGTCAGAGTCGTACAGTATCAGTGTGTGTGTCATCTGGGAAAACACAGTAATCCATGTGTGTTGCACAACAAACCCCTGCCTCCAGGGTGGGAAAAGAACAGAAATAGCCTTCCATGACTGCCTTTAGGTCTGTTTATGACCTAAAGTGCCAGATTTCTGCACAACACTGGAGTTGACGCTTTTATCGGCACGTTGCAACAGAAAAGAAGCAAACGCCCCAAACCGTGTTGCAGCTGCTAAAATGTGCAGCCTGTAAACGCCACTCTTCTCACCTCCTCTCCTTCTCGCCGCTGGACCGGTTCATTCATGTCCTCTTGGCTGCGGACGCTGAAGTTCTGGATGGCCTCTGTGACACCTTTCAGAGAGCTGTAGATGTCCTCCGAGTTCATGTTTTCTGTGTCATAGTCAAATGCACTAAAGAGACAGGGAAGAAGAGTTTTCACGCAATTTAAGCAAATAATCGTATTTATCTCACAGGTTTTATCACCAGGGGGACATGAGGTGTTTATTACCTTGGTGAAGGAGTGTTCTGGGAAGTGTTCGTAGGCGAGGTGACTGGACTGGACCAGCTGGCTGGAGATCGAGGGGTGTGGCGCGTCAGCGGGCTGCCCATTTGAGCCTAAAGATGAGATTAAAATAACGGAGTCTTTAATGCTGACACAGATCCACGCATCTGAAGCTTAGCGTCCAGGTGTGTGTTCACCTGTGCAGCATTTCCGGTGTTCTTCAGGTGATTCTGAAGCAACTTGGTGGCTCCGTCCTGGAAGGTTTTGGGGAGCGCTGCCAGCAGCATGGTGAACTCGGGAGTGTTGAGCTGGAACAAGGAGATCAGCACCGACTGGGCCGCCTGTTGGCCCCAAAATGCAAACAAACCCTCCTTTAGAGGCGGACGTGATGATGAAGCGGGAAATGGCAAGCATGAAAAGTGAAACCGTCACAATGAGACTAGAGGGGCGGGACCTTTCTGACATCGGAGCTCTTGGGTTCAGTTGTCCAGGTGATGATGCGGGAGACGGCTAGTCGGGTTTCACTGGAGTTCACAAAGTCCGGCGCTTCCATCTGTAGTGTCAACGTCTCAATGTACCTTAGGATAGCCACTTTCACCTGCACCGCACGCACACACACACACACACACACACGCACACGTTATTAAGCAACTGTGTTCATAACTCATCCGAAAAAATACACAAAGGTTTAATCCCGCGTTAAAATGGCCACCACTGTTCACAGAGAGCACCTCCTGCAGATCTGAAAGTGAACAAATCGGATGAATCGGCGAGAGGAGTGAGCGTTTATGTTCATGCTTTTGCAAAAGTAAGAAGTGATGAAAAATGACAAAAGCAAAGAAAGAAATGTCGACGCAGGCTCCAAAATGTCCTGACTGATCCCCCCCCTCTACCTCCGCGCCTCTACACCTGCACCTCAAGGGCCAGAACCTCCTCCAAATCACTCAGCAGCACAGTGCGCGCCATTAGAATTGCTCCCCGCCGGAGCACACTGACCTGGGAGGACTGGCTCCAGGCTGCGGCCTGCTCGTCTAGAGAGCAGGCGTGGCGCCGCGCTCTGGGGCGGAACAATTTTACCCCGGACCCTCCCCTGCCTCGCCCTCGAACGCAACACGAGCTCCGCACAGGCTTCAGAGAGAGAGAGGAGAAGCACCGCGTCAATCAACAGAGAGACAGAAGGAAGAGGGCAGGGTGGATGGAGGGTGGAGGGGAGGCATGAGAGGAGCAGGAGGAAGGGAGGTGCGGAGAAGGCTTCAGGCCACCATTTTTATTTGTACAAAGCTTTCCAGAACCTTTTGCCTCCTCAGTAATCCTCGCTGCTTTAGTGGTAAAGTTTGCAGCAGATGGGTAATCGGCTCAAGTTGTTCTGTTGACCTTTAGGCAAAGAGGAAGATCTGTTATTAAAGGTGTGATTTACTCGTTTATCCAGTACGTTTGCAGTGTTCTAGTGTACATCAGTGCCTTATGAGTCATTAAAAACAGCTACGATGCTGCTGTTCTGAGGTGAAGAGGTAAGCTGGTGCAACTGCAGGATTACCCATTATTATTAATGATGCACACACACCTCACTTCTGATTGGCTAACAGAACCTGTTCAGCCATGTTGCAAAGTCACCATCACCAACACACTGTCCGCTCTCTCTCCTCGCTGCCTGTGGGCAGGCGTGAGCAAAGACAGGCGAGGCCATGAATGCAAACTCAGTGTGACATCACAATGTGAGGATCTTCTGATCCTAGCATTTCACCTTCCATTTTCTATCAGAGGCTAACGCAGGTAATAGATGTAGGAGACTCTTCATGTCTCAGAGTGACTCATTAGAATCAGAAATAATCATAAAAATGGGGTTTCAGCGTCCTGCACCGTGACAATAATGGATTAGTAAGAGGGAGTGAAAAAAATGGTTAAATATTACTTAAGGGGAGCTGCAGGGTGATAGAAGGATGGAAGAATGCAGCAGAAGAAGAACGCCAGTGAAGGAGAAACAACGAATCCCGATCAGTTTGGTGTCCAATCACAGCCCAGGATTCAGGGTTTTGGGGCACACAGCCAGGTGGGCTGGGCGAGTCCACGCAGTAACCATGGATACGGCAGCCTTGATCTACAGCTTCATGTGCATGCTTGGACTCAAACGGACTTCCTACTGACCTTGAGGTTGGGCGTCTGTGTCTGGTCCACCGTGAACCTCATGAGAATAGTGAACTGGAGGTCGTTTGGAAACGATTCTCTGCAAGTAACAAAAACAAGAGTCAATTATACATTAATAATAAACTGGACCAGCATGGCTAATTTACACATATATAACCCGCTGGACGCTTCCTTAGACTTTCCTTTAGCTGCTAGTCTCCATCTACATGTGAGCTGAGCCCCACCTTGTGACATCCAGAGCTCTCTGAACTTTGGCCTGCACCGAGCCCAGCAGGTCAGCTCCCATCTTCTTCAGCAGCTGCGTGAGCAGGACAAACAACCAGTCCTGCAGGTCCTCCTTATGGACCACGATGAAGTCCACCAGAGTCTCCAAGAACATGCTGAACACCTAAATACACAAACACACAGATTTAGTTAAGGTCACACACAGCAACCCAGCCATCCAAACACAAAACACTTCATGCACACACACACACACACACAACAAATGCATGCATGCGGGTACTTCTGCTGCATGTTAGGGTGGATACAGATTATGCTGCGTTGGGATTAGAGCTGCACGATATCAGAAAAAAATTCACTTTGCAATTTTTTTCTAATCAGACTGATGTTTTGCCAACATCTGGCGAAACTATAAATACATCACAATACATACGGTACGATGTGCAAGACACATCAGGTGTTAAACGAGAATCAATGCTGCCATCTAGCTGTCAGAGTATGAATTGCGCCACAAACAAGAAATAGTGTAAATGCATGTTGTCAATAAAAATTGATTCACTGCTTTTAAATATCGGTTCAGTTTCTCAACAATAATTATCACAATATTTCAGTGTGTCGATAATTTCGTAAATCCCAGCGTGCATCTTCAAAAATGACAAGAATTTTAATACAAGACTTGAAAATCTAATTGATCTGGTTGAAAACGCACCCGTTTACCGTTTTACATCCCGCAGACTGGGGCTGGGCGACATGGCCTCAAATCTATATTGCGATATAATCTGAAGCATGTGCGATTACGATATATACCGCGATATATTTTTTCCTTTGTTTATATATGTCAAAATGACATGCTTTAAAAAAATCCTCATATGGAAAATATATTGCAGCAGGATAAAGACGTCCAAAAAGTGTAGAATGCTCCGCCTCCTCCCGCTACGTGCTTGCAGTCACTGCCATTCTGTTGTTCCAACGTCGGCGCGGGTGCACATCCTAGTGCAGGGGTGTCCAATCCTGGTCCTGGAGGGCCGGTATCCTGCATGTTTTAGTTTGAACTCTGTTTCAACACACCTGATTTCAATCAGCAGCTAATTAATAGGCTTCTGCAGAGCCTGATGAGCTGCTGCACAGGTGTTTCAACCACTGAATCAAGCCTGTTGGAGCAGAAAAACCACAAAACCTGCTGGATACCGGCCCTCCAGGACCAGGATTCGACACCCCAGTCCTAGTGACGTGTGTTATCGCGGTAGAGCCAAAAACTTACCATTACCCAATTTTATATCGTTTCTACCTTATGTTGGGGTTATTAGGAGCGAACAATTAGTAAGCTTCAACTTACTTTTGGATTCTTCAATAAATTCTGTAAATATGGGAATATTTACTGATTTATTAATTAATTAAGATATTCTTAGATATACGGGGCACCATTCCCCTTTTTCCGGGGAAAAATTGAATCCAAAACTCTTATCAGTCTTTCTTGAAGTTCGTAGAATCCTTGGAGCAGAGACTTCTCTTCGACACAACAAAGCTACTGGAGACGAAAATCTGAATTTTATAACGTTTAATTAACAATTTGTCAAATGAATAAACAGTGGAATAGATGAATAATAACCGTGTGATATGATTGAAGATGGATGTGTTTGCATGTGATGGAGGATGTATGAATGGGGTCCTTTGTTCTCACAAAGGAGTAGTGTGTATGTGTGTGTGTGTGTGCGTGTGTATGGATTCAAAATGGAGTCTTGAATACAAGATGGCTGACCCCTTTGTCTGGCTAAAGTGTGGGTGGCAACTTGCACTTTAACTTCCAAAGCACTTAGAATCAGTAGTAACTTAACCTTAAATCACTCAAAACATTTCAAAAGATCATGAAACAACACAAAAGATTAATCACAAATTAATATCTTTTAGTTTCAGCCTGGCCATGACAGAAACCATTTTAAGATACCAAACAATGATTAATAAGCAGTTTATTCTTTCAAAATGACCCGACGGACGTGTTTGGGACGAAAGAGGAAAACACGAAGCTACTTTTTAAGCAATAGACGCGGTTTATTGCTTATTTGAGACTATAGAGGAAACGGGAGAAGAAAAGGAGAGAAAAAAATGAGTTTCCTGATCACCAAAGCAGCAAGGCGTCCCCCGCTGTTATGACTTGACGGTTCTCCGTTTTTCTCCGCAGTTTCCGGCGTCATCCGTCGGTTTGATGCTTTCTCCGTTGTTTGGCGTTCACGAGTGTTTCTCCACGGGCTGGACAGAGACAGCAAAGTTTCTTTCTGTGCTGAGTTATAACTTACAGCGTTCCTGAGAGCTGGATGGAGTTGTTGTTTCCCTCCGCAGTTCTGTGTCCTCAAACATCAGCTGGAGGGGAGCAGAAACGAGCAGATCTGATGGGCTTGCAGTTTAGTTTCCAGCAGTTCCGTGGGCTCAACTTGGCACTTAGAGCTTCCGCGTGCTCAAGGGAATCGGAGCGTTCGATAAGCGTGTCCTTACCGCCAGGTATCCTGGGCAAAAGAACGAGGTTTCTTTGTCTCATTCATGATTTATAGTCTTTGAAGTCGCGGGAAAGCTTCAAGCTCCCGCCTCCCGCACATGCGCAGAACGTGTTTCTGGTATTAGGCGGTGACATCATCCCAATGCTTCCGTGTGCAAAGCATCATGGGAAATGAAGTTTCTTGGCGCTGATGTGATTATTTGCTTTTCAGAGCAATTTAAGCACAGTCATTTTGGAGAAAATCACTGCATAGTAATTTCCTCATGAGGTCAGACCCTCAACATTCCCCCTTTTGGTTTCGGGGATCGCGCCCAAAGCTCGATCGTCGGAAGCACAGATGGGTTTGTTCCTCATGAACGTAAGTCGACTTGATTGTCGGAAGCACAGGTGGGTTTGTCCCTTAGGACGTTGGTCTCCTTGGACGCCTTTGTCTTTGGTCTTTGTCTTGGATCCTGGCGCCTTTGGTCTTTGTCTTGGATCCTGGCGCCTTTGGTCTTTGTCTTGGATCCTGGTCAGGCACAAAACAAAAGAGGATAGGAAATGGGATAGTCCCCAACGCGCATAACGAGAAGAAGCCACTCACGCAGGTGGTACGCAATGATGATGTCGTCCATGCGAGAGGTAGTAGTGTAGAAGGAGGAAGGTCGGTGGGCGGTTAACTCCACGAGGGGACACAAAGGCATCTCACCGCCGGCCATACAGTTCAGTTTATGGAGCACGCGGTGATGTACGAGGTCCATAGTTCGCAAACGCGCATTGACCTATGTGGTCCCAAGATTCCCCCCTTTTTGGTCCAAAGGGTGGATCAGGACAGTCTTTGGGCTAAAACAAGGACCATAAAACTAAGAGGTACTACAATGTGCTGGTGCGTCAGACAGAGTCATTGACAGACTGAGCTGGGCCGGCACATAACCACTAGTTAATATGTGACCAAGTAAGAAACAAAAAAAATACAGAAAACCCAAAAAAACAAACATATAACATATAACATCCAAGAAAATTCATAGCAACCTTGAGGTCTCATAAAATACATTCTTAGGTAATACATTCAGTGTGTAGCTTATAAAGAATGTGACATAATGCAACACTCAGATAAAAATGTGAGGTAGACTAAAATGAGAACTACTCTTAGGTTTACAGAATAACAAAGAAAATGTTGCTCACCCCCTTTAGACAGGTGTGGTACATTCACGCTTGGAGTCTCCCCGAACGCGGTTACGAGGCACACCGTAGGTGAGCAAGTGCATCTTATCTTGGAGTTTCTTAACACGCCTGTAGGCGGAATAAGCAATCACGGCCGTGATGAGCCATTCCATCCCCAGGGCGACCAATGTGCAGATTAAAGTCGTATAATCTGTGTCAATGTAGCGTCTTGGGCGTCAAAGTAAGTTCACGCGGGTTTTGTGTGAACTTAACAAAGTTGGTTCCTTCAATCAGTAATTGTTGGTCAATTTCTAAATCGAAGGCAAAGTTATAACCCAGGAAAGCGTCCATGATCTCAAACTCTGAGTCATGCTGTTCGAGGTTGAGGTGATGGAGTGTCAGGTTTCTAGTTCAAAGTGGAAATGCCTACCGTCCTTTCAAATACCAATGTTCAGCATCGACCTAAACCTATAGATGTGAGGTGTCACAATTATGGGAACGTTTAACAGGAAACCGAGTTCTAATTTTTTTCCAACGTGAATGGGCATTGCACTACCTAGGCTGTACGCTAGGTGGATTTGTGAAAGGTGCACAGTAGAGGGGTAGCAGCTGTCAAGCTAACTTTGAGCAGGTCCAGTGGTACCAAGTACGGGGAAATACGACTTTCAACCAAGCTGTCCAGCGTGGAACTTACTTCCCTGAGCAGGTCCTGCATCAAATCTCTCACCACTCATGTGTACACAATATCCTGATGTATGGTTTCAGACAAAGTCTTGATTGCACGTAGAGATTCATTAATCAGAGCCTAGTATAGGTACCAGAGTACCCTGTAAGGTTTTAGTAGGTACATCCTGTTAGCGGTCTAGGAAGGAGTTTCTCTTGGTTAGTGAAAGTGACGGCGGGGGGGGGGGGGGCCTGGTTCTTTGTCGGTTAGTACATGTTAGTGGGTTAAACGTGCACTTCCCCCTTTTTCCATTCCCATGCATAGAACTATGTAGCGACTACGTCTACCTCCTGCGGGGAGTCTGGTCTCTGTACCTGCGGGGATGGTTTGACGTAGGGTTTGATTTGGTTTGCATGCACCCATTTGTAGACAGGCTCCTGTCTCGCTTTGGTGATGCGTAACCTGTATGCAACTGGAGAGAGTTTTGCCACGATCTCAAATGGTCCTGACCAGCAGGGCAGGAACTTCTTAGCTTTGCGTGCCGGTTGGGCGAACCGAAAGTAGAATACTTTGTCACCCACCTCGTATTCGCGGCTGGTTGTCTTTTGGTCGTAGTAGGCTTTAGCGCCTTCTACGTTGGTCTCCAGTTTCTTCTGAGCGTGCGCGAACGTAGCTCTGAGGTGTGTTTTCAAGTCTGCCACATACTGATGAGCGGTATAGGCAGTGGCAACACTGACATCCTCTGGGTGATACAGGAGGTGCAGTGGTAGAGTCATCAGTCTGCCGGTCATCATCTCAAAGGGCGTAACCCCCGTGGATCGCTGTGGAGTGGACCGTATGGCCATCAGGACCAGAGGGAGCTTGACGT